ACGGCGTTATAATTATATACCAGTCCTAAATCTTCATGAGCTTTTCTGCTGTAACTTCTGTCTTACAAGTGATATTTGTTCTCATAACAAAAATAGACCATCGGTTCTTCCCTTTATCAGCAAGGGGAATGTCATTAACCAGGGGCAAGCTAACCTAAGTTACAAAGATCAAGCACCCTCTGGAAACCTGCCATTTTGTCTCTTCTTGGGTCCATAATTCTAGCCCCCGGGTAAAGATAGCTGCCTCTGTGTATTTCAGCAACCAGAGAACTCGAGAACCCACAGGAGACTGCAGAGAAGGTGGGGCTAGCAGCTCTCATTATTCAGGTTTGTTCATTCTCCGTCATGGGAGGCTTTTTTGTCTGGTAGTAGGACAAATCCTGAGGCTAAAGAATTGCTCTGTCATTTTAGGATTTCAGAGGTTTGCTGTTATCTGACTACCAGTTCAGCTGGGATCGTGTTTTCCAGAGTCGTGGAGACACTGGAGTCTTCCTGCAGTACACGCATGCGCGCCTGCACAGGTGAGAGGCCTCGGGGAAACGTCTGGCACCCTGTCCTTCCCCAGGCCAAGAGTGGGGACTTAGGATCACAGCCCAAGTGTTCTGTGATTCAAAACTGCATAAAATACAGTAGACCCCCTGTTGTTAGTTCTTAATAAATACTATTTATTAAGTGCCTGTGTAACAAATGCCTTTATGTATAATGTGTTCTTTAGTATTCAAGATAACCCTACCAAAGGGTATATACTGTTACCTCTGTTTTACAGGAAAAGTACCAAATTTAGGGAAAGTTAAGGTACTAGATCCAACAGTGTTACACATTGTTTTTATAAGATAGTGTTCACCCAGCTGTGTGCCCTTGAGTGATGTTTTTAACTAAACCTCTGCTAACAGTTTGGAAGAGACCTTTGGATGTGGTTATCTGAGTGAGTTCAACACTGCTTGTTTGCAAGAGCCCCAGTCCATCTCAGTTCTCCAGCATCTTCTCAGGTAGGAAGGGTTTCTGGTGTTTCCAAGTCCAGCTTTGCTCACTGAATTGACTGCTGATGTTTGTGCTGACTGTTAGTGTCAGCATGCCAGTGGGCGCCTGCTACTTCCTACCTGCGGATCTTAAGAGAAGGTGTGCCCCCAGCAGTTACGTGTGAGTGGAGGGCATGTGTGAAACTATTGCGTAAGGTCAGTGTTGTACTTAGCCTCGTCTAGCTCATAGTCTAAGCATGCTACACCTGCTAGCATAAATTTTTGTTTCTGAAAAGCAGTATCCTGTCACCCCACTATGAAAAGTCAAGGAAAATGCCCACCTTTGGGTGGCTTCCCAGAGAGCATACATCCTTCATTTACCTCTTGGGTTCAGCTCATTTTCATTCCCTAAATCTGTCCAATTCCCACACCAGGCAAGAGACCACACCTTTTACCTCTCAGGAGTGATGTTGGTAAAGCCAGACATGGCACTGGAGTCTTTAGAGGGATGGAGGTCATTTTGAAAGATTCTCTCTTCTCTGATTGCCACACACTGCACAATCAAAAAGCTTATCTATCTGTCACTTATCTGTGAGGAGAAATTTTGTTACCCTTGAGGGTAGACGCTACTAGTTTGTATATTCCTAAACCTAACTGGAGACTTTTTTTTATTCATTATATTTACTTATTTATTTTATTTGAAAGAGAGGAGAAGAAATGGAAAGAGACTTTCCATCCATTTATTCACTCCTCAGATGGCTGCAAAAGCAAGGGCTAGGCCAGGCTGAAACCACTCCATATGGGTCTCTCATGTGGCTGTACCCGTCTCCCACACACTGCGCCATGCTTTACTGCTTTCCCAGTGCGTTAGCAGGAAGCTGGATTGGAGGTGGAACAGCTGGAACTTGAAGCCCTGCTGTTACGCAATGCCTCCTGTGCTGCACCACACTACTGGCCCCTCACAGTTAGTTCAACAGTGAGGATTTAAGTGTTTGCTCTGGACTAGGCCTAAGGGATATCAAGATTATTTGCAAATTTCCTGTTATTAAGGAATTTGTAAGAAGACAGAAATGTGCCTTTTCCTTTAAATATATACAAGTTATTTTCACAGGCTTTTAATGTCAAGTCAGTCTTACATTAGGATATTTTTACGAGTAACTTCTTGGTTTAGTGTGACATATGCAGTCTTCCTCTGGTCCTGTCATCTTTCTTGTAGGTTTGACGAGGTGTTATATAGATCATCTCAGGACCTTCAACCCAAACACATTGTCAGTTATCTTCTGACGCTAAGGTACTTAATAATCTTTCTATTTTTGAGTGTTACAAGACATTTGAGACCTGTAGACCAAACGTAGAATTTTTCTCATGTAAAAGTTTCCTGCAAACAAATCTTTAGTCTGAAAATTAAGGTTTTAAGCTAGAGGAATCATTTTGTCATTTTAATAGATTTGTAATTAGTGTTTATTTCTTCACTCATAATATTGAGTTATGTCAGATATGCAGCTTATATTATAACAGAAACTGGTAACAACATTCACTGAAAGTGTATATATGTACTGTAATAGTAAATGTAAGAGATGGTGCTAGAACTATGAGTCCAGTCTTGAGCAGTCAGGGAGGGCTTCCCTGTTACCTGGCTGCTGTCCCTAAACAGAGAAGGTGCTTCAAAGAGAATGGATGCATGTGCAGGGGGGTGCGGCCTCCTCACTGCACAGATACGGCGAAGTCATACTGTTTTATATTTGTAAAGACTGCTTTACATTTCTGTAATATGATAGGAATCCACTGCCGAGCCATGCTCATCATCATCGTCTCTTCCTGTTACAGTCATCTTGCAGCTGTGGCCCACAAAACACTGCACATAAAAGATAACCCTCCTGACGTGGCAGCGGTACGTTCTGTTGGATATATCCTAAAACCTAATCATCTTAAAACTAGTATTACTAAGTCAGTCTTGCACATTTTTCTAAAATAATTGTGTTTTGAAGCACACTAATGTATTTGCTGACCCCAATAATAGAGTTAGACTGACAATCAAAGTTAATATAATTTTCCTAGGCTAGACTTTTATTTTGCAATATTAAATGTTATAATGCAGAAATGCTTTTATGAAGACATATTCATATATTCTATAATGATACCATCCACAGTATGTAACCTACTGATGCTAGAACGTATCTTTCCTTGCAGTAAATACTAGGGCACTTTAAAAATATGTTGTCCTTCATAAAACTAGAAGAAAATCAGAATTACTTTAAAAATCATTTTTTTAACTTAAGTCAGCCTGTCATTAAATTGAACATTGAATCACTGTTTCTTTTGCAGGCCAGACTTCAGCTTTTCAAAGCTGTGCGTTCTGTTTTAGCCAGTGGAATGCAGCTTCTGGGAATCACACCTGTATGTAGGATGTAATTTCTCCCTAAAATGGCTCTTAATGCTGTCATTTCTACTTATTCATTCTTAGACGCCTTTGCTGTTCAAAATCGAATTTAAAGTATTATTTTTGTCAGAATATTTATTTTATTATATGTGACTTATCAGCTTGAATACTCAATGTTTATCCTCTAGAAAACTTCTTGTGAGTTCCCTCATGGTCAATATGTACTTAAGTGAACATTTGCAAAACATTTTAAGACAGTGGTCTAATGGGGAGGGAGGTATTTAATAGGGTTAAGGATTAAACTCTGGCTAGTTTCTAGAAGGAAGTCATCTTTCCAGAATACTCTTAAATTAATATGATTTAATGTTTTCATCAAATAAAATAATTGGTGATGGGAAAAAAATCTCGATTTTAATTGTGGCTAGCTCTAGATTAAAGGAGAAAGCATCTGTAGCATTTGACCTAGAAGTTAAGACACCACATCCCAAGTTGGAATCCCTGGGTTTATGTTCCCACCAGAGTAAGCAGTGGTGTGTTTCAGTGCAGAACCTGAGAGGCAGAGTGATTGAAGGCTGAAGTAAATAGGCTGTCACCATCCATGTGGGAGACCTCGAGTGAATCACCAGCTCCTGTTTTCTCCCTGGCCCAGCCTTGCTTTACCATCTGTCTGTTGAGAGAGAAGTAAGCTGACAACTCCTCCAAGACAGAACACACTGTGCTCTTTCAGTAGCATAAACATGACAGTATATACAAAGAACCCAAGAACTGAATACTTTTGAAGAGGAGTTAGTTATAGAGGGAGGCACTGTATGTGGGTACTGGAAAAATTTATGAAGAATGACATTAAAATAATTTCAATTTTATAAGTTTAAATCCATGCAATTTTTTTCAAAATATGCATTTTCTATAAAATTTTTAAAAGACTCCCTTTTTGTAAACTATAGTTCATTAGTTATGCCATAATTTGAAGTACAGTTTCTTGCATAGCTTCCTTCCTGTGACTGCACATTGGCAAAGTGCATTTGTGTGACCTGCCCAGGTAGCAGGAGCTTGGCTTAGGTGTAGCATTTCCACATGTGATGTGTTTAATCAGTAAGACATCCTCTGCCAACATTTAGATCTAACACACTCTCCATTTTGGTCTGCTGTAATTTGTTCTAGATAGTACTATTTTTACAAATACAGAAGCATGAACCAAAGCTTCTCCGGTTAGAATGAGATTTGTTTTATATTGCCACAAAAGATATGTCCGTGCAGTCTAAATTTTAAGAAAATTAGCTTCTAGATTTACTTTCTACTTTATTATTTCTATTTTTATTTACTTTCTAAAAATTTCCATAGCACAAACCAGCCATGGAATGAATGTACAGTGGGGATGTGTTTTACATGTCTAATATCTCTACTTCTCTGAGAAACTGTTCCCTCTGGAATCAATGGTAGCATCCTGAGTATAATTAAACTAACATGGAGACACTAGTAAGCAGAGCCAGTTTAGAAAGGCAGTTCTTGGAGACAGTGCATGAATTGGTTCCTCAATTCTGGTCCTATTTATAAATTTCATCTTTTGTTTCCAGCTTGGCAAAATTTACATTAACTGTTTTCTTCTGGGTCTGCATGATTGGATTCATTTAATCCCATACAAAGTAACAAAACAGACTTCATACAAATAAATTAATTTTATTGCTGAATTTCCCATTGACATCATAGAAATATTTTTAAAAACACTGAAATTAGACAAATTATCTGAGAGCCCAACAGTTAACTATACTTTATTAAAAAAAAATACAAAAGTGACATTAAAAATTCTTTTGAAAAAAAGTGTATCTTCTAACAGCAAAGAAATAGGAACCAGACAATGCATGGCACAAATACAGGACTACAGGAGTACTCGCTCACCATTGGAGATCATTGTCTGGGCCAGGAAATAGATTCTCCTGGAGGAGCACACGTTGTTTGTTTCTGAATCAGCCTGTCTTGCCTCTGCCTCTCTATTCCAAGAAGGGAGTTAAGATTATACTGCTGCAGGAACAAAATACTGTGTGTGAATTTTGGAGAACTCAAGTGTCCTGCTCCCCAAGTACCCGAAAAACCGAACAGTACAGAAATGGCTTTGGCACTTTAACCCTTAAACTCCATCCCAAACCCAGAGATTTGAATGTAGCCTCACATGATTTTTTTTTTAATACCATGTCATCTCTATACTTTTTATGTACATTATATATATATATATACAATAATAAAACTCCTTCATTTTAAAAATTTGATGCAAACAGGCCCAGATTAAATCTCTCCATTAGCAATTCACTGAGATAGCTTCTTTCTTGATTCTTGTGTGGTTGATTTGTTGTTGCTGTTTGTATCTTTAAGCTACCTTCTAGGATTGACTTAAGGCTCTAGTATAATGCAAATGGTACAGTCATTTCTTTTCAGGCTCCAATCACACACCAATGATTTTTTCTTTCGAAGCTGTTTCTCCTTGTTGGATGGATGTAGTGTCTTGTCTGGGTAGTCCATAGATATAGATGGAAACACATACAAGAAGGGCACCCAAAGAGAAGGTAAGTGCTGAAAAGAAAGCGAGAAAATGGGTTAATTATATTTGTGCCTTTAACAACATCAATTTAAAACTGACATTTTAGTTCTGAGGTATTATCGTCACATCATAAAGGAAATGAATAAGGTCTGGAATGCTCACCAACTCTAGCCAAAAAAAAAAAAAAGATAAAAGCACTGTTGATCACTAATTGGTGAGTACACACTTCAAGAACAACAGTTTGCCTGTCTTGTACAAATCTGACAGAGATGTATTCATTTTGCTTGACAGAGTTACAGAGAGGAGAGACAAAGAGATCTTCCAGCTTCTGGTTCAGTCCCCCAAATGGCCACAGAGGCCATAGCTGGGCCATTCCAAGGCTGGGAGCCAGGAGTTTCTTCCATGTCTCCCACATGCACGGTGAGGGGCCCACGGACTTGGGCCTTCCTCTGCTGCTTTCCCAGACTCTGAGCAGGGAGCTGAGTCAGAGGTAGAAGGCTTGCTTTACCTTCAAAAACAGGAGGGGGTTATCTTATGTGTAAATAATTGAAAGGTTACTAAGGCATTCTAATTAACCATCAGTAAAACAGAACATTTTATAAAACATTTCTTTTAGGATTTATTTTTATTGGAAAGTCAGATATATACAGAGAGGAAGAGAGAAAGATCTTCCATCCGCTGATTCACTCCCCAAGCAGCCGCAACAGCCGAAGCTGCACTAATCCGAAGCCAGCAGCCCAGAGCTTCCTGTGCACCACATGGGTGCAGGGTCCTCAACTGTTCTCCCAGGCCACAAGCAGAGAACTGGATGGGTAATAGAGCCGTTGGGATACGAACTGGCATCCATATGGGAGGTGTAAGGCAAGGACTTTAGCCGGTAGGCTACTGCACCAGGCCCAATAAACGTTTTATATGAACTTACCAAATACTTCTCATAAACAAAGGGCAGACTGAACATAAGGAGAATAAGAATTACAATTTAAGTAAGAGAAGCATCTAGGAAGTGGGGGAAGATGGTAGCTGATTATCTTTTCATGAAGACCAAGCCACCTTAACACAACCTTACAAGAAGATGAAGGACCACAGTACCCAGTTTTAGTGTAAAGAGACAAGTCACAGTGAAGAGGAGAAGCACTTCCCTTCCCCTGGAGGTCAGTAGCCAATAAGGACTACATGTCTCCTGCTTTGGAGAAGGAAAGGGTCTGAAGTCCAGAAACTAATCTGAAACCTATAACCAGGCTGACTGGGCCTTCAGACCCCACTCAACCAGGCAAGCAAGGAACTGCCTCCACCATCCAGCTGACAGTTGAGCAAAATTCCAACTTCTGGGGGTAGAGCAGGAATGTATGCTCAGGACTCTGGTTGGTATGAAGCTCCAGGCCAGTCTTGCTGTGATAAGCCTTAGCAGCATCAGTTAGGGTTTTAGAGACCACTATCCTCCAACTACTGATTGCAGAGCCTCCTGTCTATTTAGACATCAAGTAGAAGACTTGTGCCCCACTCGAATGGACAACTGTTGGCCTGTGTGACAGTGACCCTTGTGTGGACAAACCCAACTTCATCTCAGCCTAGGAAACCTGGCATTGCCTTCACCAAACTTTACCTAACCCTGGGCTGACAAGGCTAGAGACATCACGCACAGAGGAGCATGGCGGGAAGGAGATCATGTCTTTGGGTTGCAGCTCAGTGCCAGTCCTACTGTCAGGCCAGTATCACAGTTGGAGCCTTGAAACCTGTACCACCATCAGATTAAAAACTATGGCCTGGTAGCTCAGACTCATGCTTCAGCCAAGATTATCCCCAACTTTGCACAGGCTAGAAACCATCTACAAGACACCACAGAGACAGAGGACGTAAGATTCAGGTACAAGGTAATTTAATGTCAACCTGACCAACCAAAGGTCTATCTATACCACTCTTTCTGTCAACCCTGGACATCTTGCAAGGAGCAGGACTCTAGCCATAGGGAAACAGGTCACCGACATGGGCAAAGGACTACACCAAAGAACTCCATACAACTGCTGAAATCCATCACTGGGCAAATCCTAACAGTCACTGTCCCCGGGCTAGTGTCTATGAAAAGAGATTCTGGGCCTGTCTGACATACTTGCGTCACTGTAGCCCCACAGTGAGTGTAAATCCTGACACCACCTATAGCTGGCTATACCTGGGCAGCCAGCTCCCAAAGCAATGTGGGTCTTGGCTGACTATGGGCTTTCACTTTGGCCTGCCATTACAGTGTTGCGGACTGAAGATGGCTTCCTACCTTGACACCAGGCAGCACAACATGTTCATGGGTTGGAACAATATTTAAATTTCCACAGTACACAAAGAAATATATATGTTCAAAACAATTTACATCAAAATGCCAATATAGTCATCACAGAACTCACCAATCCTAAAATTCAATTGGAAACTAAAATATCGAAAGCAACTTTTAACGTTAAGAACAAACCTCAGGCCAGCACAATGTCTAAATTGGCTAATCATCCACCTACACCCCAGAATCTCATATGGGCATCAGTTTCTGTCCTGGCTATTTCACTGCCCATCCAGCTCCATGATTGTGGCCTGGGAAAGCAGAAGAGGATGGCCCAAAGCCTTGTGACCCTGCTACCCCATGGGAGACCCAGAAGAAGATCCTGGCTCATGGCTTAGGACTGGCTCAGTTGTGGCCATTTGTGGCCCCTTGGACAGTGACCCAGTGGACTGAAGATCTTTCTTTTTCTCTCTATAAAATCTACCTTCCCAACAAAAATAACTAAATCTTAAAAAAAAAAAAAAAAACAAGAACTCTTACTGACATCACAGTATCTGACTGCAGAGCTACAGTAACCAAAAATATTAGCATCACAGAAATAGGCTCATACACAACAATGTACAGTGGAGATGGAGAAATGGTTTTATGCATTTGCAGCCAATTTATTCTCTATAAATGTGCCAAAAGCATACTAGGGAGTGAACACCTGCTTCGACAGGCTGCTGGAACAGTTGCATGTTCCTATGCTGAGAACTAAGTCTTGACTCTCCCACACGAAACTGCATGCACACATGCAGGTGCAAACATGTCACTATACAAAAACCAAAGTCAAAATGGATCAAAGACCTAAATGATCAGACCTGAAACAACTAGAAAAAAAATACAGAACATTTTCAAAAAATCAATACGGCAATGATGTTTTAGAAAAAGGAGAGGAAGGGAAGATCTGTGGATACAAGTATTGAAATATTGCACTGTAACCCATAAAATTTGTGCACATATTGCATGCTAACATTTTTTTAACTTTAAAAACATGTAAACATCCAAGTGAAGGCACAGAAATACTTGACGTCAAAATGGCAGTTAGCTGGCCTTGCACAGGTTACTTACAATGTGCCAGGCACTATTATTGTAAGTGAAAACATCTAAAACCTCCTATGGAAGAAGGTGAAATTAGTATACCCATTGTACCGATTAAAAAACTGACACAAATTACATGTTTCTCCCAAGATCACACAGTTAATGAACAGTACAAGCAAGGTTTGAACCATATTATGTTTTTCTACAATTTCTGCAACACTTAAGTTGCTGTTTGCACATGTAACACGTCAATTTTAAAATCCAATGTAAATGTAGACCATATCTCTTTTATTTAATGTAGATATTTAGAAATTTTTCTCATCAGTTTGTAACAGATTAATAAAAATGATTATTTCACAGCATAAAAGCATCCTAAAACATTAATAGATGAACATTACTGCTTAAATAATTAATAATTCAACTTGATGTGAGGTATAAGAACTAGAGAAAAATTATAAAGACTAGCACAGTTTGGTGCTATAATAATTAATTTCATATTAATTACATACTAAATGAAATATATTTCTTTTTATAAAAGAGAAAATAAAATCTTGATTTGCAAACGAATCATTCCAAGTACTAAACAGGATAGTACAAGATAGGTGGAGGAGGGAAAACTAAAGTATACTTTTTGCTTTCCTCAAAATCAACTTAACTCAGCTCCACTGTCTGAGGTTGTCATTACTTGAAGTACTTGCCTCCATTTCCAGAAGCAGGAAGGTCTTGACTGCACAAATGCTCTTTTATAACAGCAGCCCTTCAGTTTCACACAGAATCAACACCTAGAACCTTCAGCTCTGGGATCAGTTATAGTATCTGGTACCCACTTCCACACAATTGTGAAGTACTGAACAGGATAAGTTATTACAACAAAACCAAAATGTTTTAGAAACACAGTGGCTACCTGCCATTTTTAAATGGAGAAATAAATTGTGGCAGTGAGATGCTCACCTACGTTAACAACTTAATACAAAAAGGACGGCGTACTTATCTGTAATCCAAACAGTACCACTGAAGCAATGGTGGAAAGCACAATGGCAGCTGCAGCAGAAAAGCCTTTCATGATGTTGTCGGTGTACTTGACCACCACCGAGGTGTAAAGGCCTCCAACACTTGCCAGAACTTGAAAAAAGAAAGAAAATCAACACAGTGAAGTGGCTTTCATCCCCAATGATGCTAAACTAATATACCTAAGAGCAGGATAATACTCTATTTTTCTTAGAAGCAATCATCTGAGAGCATAGTAGTTTCTACATAACATTGTTTCTAGAAGTCCCAGGAGCTTTGTTTTCTACTATATTGTACACATTTATTGCTAACACATTAGACACTTTATTGTGGAGTCAAAATTGCTTTGGGATAGCTATGCCACAAAAGTAAGTCAATAAAACCAAAATTACATTTTTGAAACTAGTATTCATGGTATCAAAGGGATAATTTCTAAATGCTATAAAAGTCTTAACACAGACATCTAACTTGAAAAAAAAAGGATCCATACAGAACCTTTAATTCACAGATACTTACAGATAACAAACCAGACATAATGTGTGTAACCATAGAAAAATCCTTTTTCTTTAATTTCAGCTCCATCTGACAAGTAGACACCAACTAATGTCACAGCAATCCCTGACAGATACATTTGAATGTTTCTCACCCAAAGGGAAGTGTCTGAACTCTTTAAAACTTTTTCAAAATACACTCCTGAAACAAAATTAGATATCAACATATTACAGCTATTATAAATTCATTTATACCGTCTTAGAACAAACCAGCCAGATACATAAAGCTTACGATTTGACTAACATTTTGTTATCTGCATGTATATTTATTGTTTAGGTTATAAAACATGACATTTAACATTGCCTAACTGCATTTTTACAGAGCATATGGATTAGTAATTAAGGGAATCTTATAAGCTACACTTAACAGGGATCGGTTAAATTACTTAAAATATTTTATGCCTTTATTATAATAGTAAGTCCACAAAAACTCTTTGTATGATTTAACAACAAAACGAGATTGCTTTGGGTTGTAAAAGCATGCTGAGTGAAGCATCTTATCACGCCACTATAGTCTCTGCTACGAAGTGGTACTCCTCAGTGTTCCAAATGCCAACACAATCACCTTCTGGGATTTTTTCAGAGTAACATAAAATAAAATTTAAATAGACCTTGATAAGTGAAGCCATTTTCCTTTAAAAGAAAGATTCTAAAAGTCAAGATCATACACAAACTAGAATGACCAGGAACTGCCTAATCAGATAATTTTGTGTGTCCCTTTCTCTGGGGATAAAGATGCATATTTTTTCAGATACAATCATATATCACTCTTGTAAAATTTTATACGTAATAAGTGTAAATTTAACAGCAACATTAAATATTTTAATTACAAATACCCTGTGAGACTTAGAAACTGCCACTACAATAATTCTCAACCAAAAACTGGAACTTTAACTGGCTAATTTTTCAACTTCAAGCACAGGCATCCCGTATGAACACTGGCTCATAACCCAGCTGCTCTACTGCCCTTCCAGCTTCTATCTGTGGCCTGGGAAGGCAGCAGGCAGTGGCCCAAAGCCTTGGGATCCTGCACCCGCATGGGAAACCAAAAGAATCTCATGGCTCCTGGCTTCAGATCAGCTCAGCTCCAGCCACTGCAGCCATTTAAGGGGTGAACCAGCAGATGCAAGATCTTTCTGTCTCTTCCTCTCTCTGTCTAAATCTGCCGTTCCAATAGAGATAAATGAATCCTAAAAAGAAAGTTGCTAGCAAAAGTAAGTTTTAGTGAATATATACTAAAAAGAGCTAAAGAATAGGAACAAAACCACTCTTGTTCCACCTTTCATTGCACATCTGAGAAAATGATTTATGTTCCCAGTGCTTAGTTAATCCAAGAATAAATGGCTATCTGGGCCAGCATTGTGGTAGAGCAGGTGAAGCTAACAACTGCAGAGCTGACATTCCATGTTGGCATCAGTTTGGGTACAGCTAGCTCCACTTCTGATCCAGCTCCCCAACAATGTGCCTGAGAAAACAACCGAAGGTGGTCCAAGCGCTTGGATGCTTACACCCACACAGGAGACTCAAGCGAAAACTCCTGCCTTCTGGCTTCGGCCTGGCCCCTGCTAGTCTTTAAGACAGTGAACTAGTGAATGAAGATATCTGTTTCTCTCTCTCTCTCTCTCTTTCTCTCTCTCTCTCTCTCTCTCTCTCAAGCTGATTTTCAAATACGTAAGTAAATTGTAAATGAATAAATGGCTTTAAACCACCTTCAATTCCCTCAATTGTTTATTGAGAAACTAAAATCTGTACAATGTTAGATGTCAGTGTCTGCTGTTTAAGAACAGTATATATTATTTCTATGGCGATTCAAATTTTGTGCCTAATTTGTTGGTTCCTAAGAATAAAATCTTAATATTATACTCACTAATTAATGAAGTATATTCCTAAATTTATATTTTCTCCTTATGAGCATCTTATATATGCAATATTTTACTTCTATAATTAACCTACTTTCCTAGTCAAAAGTAAAGTGACCTATCTCTTGAAATAGACACAATTTAAGATAAGTAACAAAAATATATAGTAATAACTGGTATGCTATTTACAAAAGACTTTAAATTTTTGTTTGGACCTATTCTAAGACATCTCAATTGTTAGATTACACAAAATATTCATACTTTTTGCATTCATCCTTTTCTGTAAAATTTGTCCATATACATCTGACTCCAGACCTGAGTGTTTGATGCTAGTGATTCTATTTCCCCCGCTTTTTGGCTGTGACTTTTATGAATTCCTTTTGTTACAGTACACTCCGACCACTTCTTCATACGCCATTGCACTTGCTGAAGCAGAGAAGAACTTAGTGTTACAGGCTAACAGACCAGGAGCTGGCTAACATTAACAACCTAATCCAGCAGAAATTAGCTTGAAAATAGTGTTGGTTCAAAAGAAATAGAGAAAGAGGCACTTCAAATTTCCTTTTCCAGAGGTCATTTTAATTTTACTTTTATGTTCTTGGCTGGACTCAGATGGCTGAGGATGACCAGAAGTATACTTTTAGGTCAAGTATGAATAACAACTGAGGTCTGAACTGAGGTAGACATGTACTAGATGAACAACTTGCCCAAAATTAATATAGCCATGGGATATAATTATGATAAAGCAAGATATACCAGCTTGATTTTTTAAAAAATATAACAACAGAATAAAATAGTGATTTTATGATTTACCTGCAAATCCTGAGCACAAAACAGCAATAGCTATGGCACCAAACCCTAATAATGGATTCTGCTCCACCTGAAACATTAATATTTACTGTATTGAGTAATAATTAGAATTCATCCAAGGGCATAGATACATACAAATACTACTAAAGCTGTGTGCTATATTCTATAAAATACGATGAAGCCAAACAGAACATCAGCACTCCAGAAATTGATCACAGCACTTGATGTCAAGGGTGTCCCTCAGTAATAACCATATTATATATTTAATATAGCAAGTACACCTATTTCCTAAGATGATACTTTAGCATAGTTTTGCAGCATCAGCCTGTTTGCTTTTGGTTCTGCCACAACCCTGGTTTAGGGCCTTATCACATTAAATCTGAAATGATAAAATAGCTTATTTTACCCCTTACCACACCAAGGATGAATAGATGGCTTTTGATTCTGTGTGCCAGAAATGCTGTGTTATATTCATACACTGAAGGAAGAGGATTCATAATTCTGGTTTTTAAAGTTACACATATGACAGAAGTTGAAAGATACAACTAATAATGCTGTGAGATGAGTGGCGACATTGTGTATGGGATCCCAATCTATTGTATTTTTCGTGTTTACATACTTGAGAGGGATGCATGCCCATGTGGGTCCCTGATTAAGGTGGGAAGAGTTGAGGTATGGTGAAAAGTGGGTAGGGCAGGTTTCAATTTTTTGATAATGCCTTAGAGTCTGTGACATGGGGAAGTATTCTTAGGTTGTTACTTGAGTGGTTTTGATAGTTCTCAGTCAGCATTAAGGTCTGTTGGCTGACCAAGTCCACCTTAATGAATCCACAGACCCAGGAATATGTTGCAAAGTTTGACCAACTAGTTCTGCTTTCCATCCTCTGACAAGGCACTCAGCATGCTCTGCTGGCCTAGGTGAGCTGGCTGTTACATCCCTCATGTGCATCTGGTCATGCTGTTCACTGCACAGGCATCAGCAACTGGGGAGGCCTGGCCCCAATATGCACACTCCAAGATTGGAACATACATTGTGATTTTTCCTGTGGCTGGAGTTTGAATCCAGCTGACTCTTGTGTGCACCTACCAGTGCAGTGTCAGGTTCAGTCTGCCCCCTACATACTGGTGAATGCACATACTGATGGATGCAAGCTGCCTGGTCAGTTCTGCCCTCAGCCCCATCTTTCACACAAACTGATGGGTGCGGCAGCTTAGCCCAGCCCTACCTGCCACAGGCCCCGTCTCTACACAGCAGCTGGTGCCAAGACCTAGTCTAGATAACCCCACCAGATCCACTCTCAGCCCCAGATCTTGCATGTGCCAGTGGGTGTTGCGGTCCTGCCTAACATGGCCAACCCTCAGTCCAGGGACTTACCAGCAGGTACTAAAGCCTAGCCCAACTGGTCCACACCCATTATGGCTTTTGCTATTGGGTGCTACAGCCTAGCCCTGCCTGACCCAGCTCCCCAGAACCCTGCACTCATGAACTGGCAAGTGTTAAAGCCTACTGCATCCTGTCCCACACCTATTCTGGCTCCTGGGAGCACTAGCAGTTGCTGGAACATAAGCCATTCTGGCCCACCCGCACATCCAGCCCACACATGCTGACAGTTGGTGCTGCAGACTTTCCCTGCCCAGTCTGCCTCCAGCCCAGGTTCTTGCAGGTGGGAGCTGCAGCCTAGCATAGGAGTTCCCAGAGTTCCCCATCAGGCTCATTCCCAACCCTGGATCTTGTACATGCTGGCAGGTGCTTCAAGCCAGCCTGGCATCGCCCACCCACAGTCTCAGCTCTCACTGGTCGGTGTTGCAGCCTAGCCCAGCTAGGCAGGCACAACCCACACCCTAATCTAGCTCTCACACATGTCAGCAGGTGCTAAGGCCTGGTCTAGCTTGGCCTGACCCCCCAGATCTGACCCACACAAATGCTCCAGCCTTGCCAGGCTGACCCGACCCAAGTCCTGGATACTGTGCTTGCCAGCAGGAGCTGTGGCCTGAGAGGGGAGTTCCCCAACTTCCTCCGTCATGACTACTCTCAGCCCTCGATCTCCTGCATGCCCATAGGTACTGTAGCCCTGCTTAGCATGGTCTGCTCTCAGTCCTGATCTTTGTATGTGCCAGCTGGTGCTTCAGCCTACCCAATCTGCCCCTTCCCAACCCAGGTTCCTGCAAATGTCAGGAGAGTTCTGTGGTCCAGTCTGGCTCAACCTATTGCCACCCCCAGCTCTCTATACAAACCAGTGAGTGTTGCTGCCCCACGGAAGTGAGCCCGTAAGTCTCATACAGAATCTGCCCCTGACCCCCAGGTCTGGTTCTCTTGTTCTTAGGAGTGCCGTGGCCCAGCCTGACATGGCTCACCTCCTGCTCTGACACTCAGAGTGGGTACTGTGGCCTAGCCTGGCCAGGCATGCCCCCAGCCCCAGCTGTTACTGTTCTATTGATTACTACATTATAACATACTTAACAGATGACTAAAACCACTTAAAAAATTAATAGTCAATAATGGAAAATATTGTTGCTTCCTTAGGACTGAGATATACCAAATTTCTTTATGGAAAGGATTCCTAGAGTTAAGTGAGGAGAATTCCATTGAGACCAAGTTTAGGAAGCAACTTAATAGAATTGTACAATTATCTGTGAGCAAATCTAATGCAGTGAAGATAACAGTATAATAAACACTTGCATAGAAAAATGCGAACAGAAGAAAATCGGGCTAGAGCAACAGCCAGTACCACCTTGCCAGCCATGTGAATGAGCCACCTTAGACACAAATCCCCCAGCCCATCATTCCTTCAGTTGATTGTAATCCCTGGCCAAAGCAGCCTCAGATTCCTGATTAATAAAAGCTAGGAAAGAGAACAAAAGTTTGGGAAAAAAGAAAATCAGGGCCCAGTGCATCCACCAGGATCCCATATAAGCTGATTCTTATTCCAGCTGCTCTACTTCCATTCCAGCTCCCTGCTTGTGGCCTGGGAAAGCAAGAAAGACCTTGGGACCCTGCACCTATGTGGGAGATCTGAAAGAAGCTCCCGGGTCCAGATTGGCTCAGCTCCAGCCCTGGCAACTACTTGGGGATTGAACTAGCAGATGGAAGGTCTTTCTCTCTGGATCTCCTCCTCTCTGTGTATCTGCCTTTCCAATTAAAAAAAAATCTTTAAAGAAAAAACAACAGAAAATCAACCTAGAAAGAGGTCTAAACACCTAGTCACAAAACTCTAATCCTGTTGTAAAATTTTCAGTGAAGATTCAAAAATATTTTCAAATCTAGAAAGCATAACATGCAAAGGAAAGCCACAGGAAATAATTCAAAGGAGCTGAGCAATGACCCAAAGCTAACTGGATGTGCTGAATGAAGAGTCACATCCTGTGTTTTCAAATAAGCCCATCACAAAGGACATTTCTGAGATAAACTGCATTTACAGGAAACTGCTATATGGGTTATGTGTAACCAATTATAAAATGGATATCTCCACTTACCCCAAAATGCTATTATAGTTGTATAAGAATTAATCTTTAAGATTCAGGGTAAAGGCAGCAATTCTCAAACTACCTCACACTGTCAGGGCAGGATCTGGTGAGAGGATGCAAGTTGAGGATAAGAAAAAATGACAGATGAATCAGCTACAAGAAAACTACAGAGCAATGTGTTGGGCAGGTGGCATTATCCAGAATGCTGTTCACAACTGCATTACAGAAAAAGGGTTGTTTAAATAGAAGAGGGATTTGCTATTTAATCTGGCAAGACACGATCTGGGTTTCCCATGTGGGTGAGAGACGCAAGTGCTTTGAGCCATCACCTGCTGCCTCCCACGGTGTTCACTGGCAGGAACCTGACTTGGAAGAAAAGAAACTGGGATTCAAATCAAGCACTCTGTTTTGGGATGCTGATACCTGTAGCAGTGTCCTAGGCACTGTGCCAAATGCCACATGACATATTTAACTTTTAATTGTCTGCCTTACTTCCCAAATTACTTGAAAGTCTACAACTGAGTTATATGGTGCTGTGCATATCTGGTAAATGATGTGCAATGTCAGCAAGGAAGTGAACTGGGAATATTAAATGAAAACCCATTTTCTGAAAACAAAGCAAAGCTTCTCCACCAAGCCAGAGAATAACTACTGAAAACACAGAATTTCAATTTTCACAAGCTCTCTATTTGAAATATATAAAATAGGAGACTTTCTATTTTAGTTTCTTACCACAACTTTTGTAGCTTGGGCTGGTTTCCACTGTACAAGTGTGACTCCACCACACAGCATAAAAACTGAAATCCACTGTAATTTACTGAGTGTCCTATTTAACATTAAAACAGTACATAACGCAGTACAGGGAATCTTCATTTGGTAGGTCACCTAGAAACAAACAATGAATTAATAAATACACTTAGTACAAGGGTACTTCAAAAAATTCATGGAAAATAGAATCCAAAAACATGGGATTTTTTTAAAAGATTTTATTTTTTTGAGAGTTTCAGAGAGGGCGAAAAACAAGGACATATCTTCCATGTGCTGATTCACTCCCCAAATGGCTGCACTGGCAGAGGTGAGCCAACATGTGGGAACCACGAGCTTCTTCCAAGTGCAGAGAGACCCAAGCACTCGGCCCATCCTCCTTTGCTTTCCCAGGCACATGAGCAGAGAGCTGGATTGCAAATGGAGCAGCAGGGGACAGAAACCAGGACCCACTCTCCCACAATGCTTGACCCAAGATGTAGATTTTGATGCAAAAAATACAAACATTATGTCTGATTTTTTCACAAAATGCATTTCAGTGAGCTTTTTGAGACTCCTGCAATTAGTCTCCAATATAAATATTTTTAATAATAGATCAAGAAAAAAATATTTGATTATGTGTTAGTTAAGAATCTTTCCACCAGCATATATATATATAATAGTTATATATATGTATATATATGTGTGTATATAAGATTCTGTACTTTGCATTCTCATTAAATGCACTCACCTGGTACACTGCTGCATCCAGATTGCTAAGGGCTAGGAAAGCCATGTTGTTCTGAACAGCATACACTAGTGACGGCACACTTAACTTCATCAGTTCCTTGGGACTCCCAAAAACATTTTCACATAAAGATGTCTTGAATCTACCCAGACTACCAGTTTCTCTTAGAAGATAAAAGAGGTAGAGGAAAGAATGGTAAGGAAGAAAATAAAACATCTTTTTAATATGATTCCTAAACTCACAAGAGAACTACATTGCTTTAAGGTCATTAATGATTTTTAACACTTTTTAAAAAATAATTTCCAATTAATTTAAGATTTGTTTAACAGAATAGTGTTGCAAAATGAAAAATCATAATTACAATTTTGAAAACTATGACAACCAGGTTTATTACCACAAATATATGATTAGAGCTTCAAGAATTTTTAAATCTATACAGTAATAAGCAAGAAGCAAAGATTGCTGATATTATCTATAAAAAGTTATTTGCCTGCCACAATAACAATAATGCATCAAGTTTGCCTTTATTCAGTATTAAAGTGAGATAAATATCGAAACCATTCCATATTTTTAAAGTCTTTTTAAAATTACATTTTAACTGCTTACATAAGAAGTAAGCGTTGAGGTCCAGTGCAATGGTTCAGTGGCTAAATCCTTGCCTACACACACCAGGATCCCATATGGATGCTGGTTTGTGTCCAGGCTCCTCTGGTTCCCATCCAGCTCCCTCCCTATGGACTGGCATGGCTTGTGGAGAATGGCCCAAAGCCCTGGGACCCTGTGCCCATGTGAGAGACCCGGAAGAAGCTCCTGGCTCCTGACTTCAGATTGGCTCAGCTCTGGCCATTGCAGCCACCAGAGTAGTAAACCAGCAGATGGAAGATATTTGTATCTCTGTAAATCTGCCTTTCCAGTAAAAATAAATATATCTTTTTAAAAAAGAAAGAAAGAATTACACATTGGTAGTTGTTGAAATTACCTAGGTTAGGAATTAGTTATTTAGGTCAATATTATTTATAAATACATGCAGTACTTAATGAAAGACAGTAGGCAGTATGTGTTTAACTTACATAAGCATACTCTCATAAAACTTACTGTATCTGCATAATTCTGTAGGGAATCTGGAAAATTTACTAATCCCTACAGAAACAAGCTTTATGTGCAATGCATATAGTTTCCTACTTGAGTGCATATTGATTATTCATGCTCTTAAATATTCTTAGTTTTGTTTAGGAAGAACTGGATAGTCTGTCATATTTCATCATTATAAATTAGCTTACGTCTTGTAAACAAAAATTTTAAAAATTTAACAAGCTTCAGTGTATTCAAAAAAATAAATAAAAACAATAAAAGCTCTATGAAAATAACCCTAAGTGCACATCTCAGCATCTTCTTGAGACTGCAATCCTTAGGGGGTGAGACAGCTCCATGTTAAACTCACACTACATGCCTTTGTTGTTGTCATTGTTAGCAAATCAGAATCAACAACTCTGACTTGCATTTTTCATATTTATAAATATTGCAAAAATAGTTACCTAAGTTTTTCTGGGGGGAGCAAAATTCTACATCAAATTGACTAACAGTGCCCATGTATTTGTTGTTGAATATTCCACCCCCAAATAAATGCGTAACACAGAAATTTAGCCAAGAAACAAGAGACATCCTTCTGTTGCCAAATTCAACTCCCTCCCAGCTCCAGTGCTCAGGCCACACACTGAGAGGTGATGCACACAGCCTGTTGGTGAGCTACACTCTTATGAGGAAAGACTAAAGGATCACTTTACTGAAACACTTCACAGTGGAGTTTGCTCTGGGCTGCAGATTGGCCCTTTAAACAATTCTACTTTCATTTTAATTGCTTCTTAAATCTAAAATGCCCCCCTATTTCCTGACATATTACATAGTATAAACAATGTTTCAAGAACATTTTTGCCCCAATTTTAAGAATTGAAGACAAAAAAACTTAAAAATTAAAGCAAAAACAGGAATCACAGGAGTCCAGGCCAAAACAATCATCTTAAGGCAATATGTTAGAAGACACAATTGGACATTTTCTGTATCACAATTATCATTACTATTACATGATAACATCAGTATAAATCTTACAGATGCCATGAAGTATGGGATATTGCTTTCCCTATACTATTCCTTTTAGTGCCCTTCTGAAACCCTGACTTAGACAATGATGCATTTTCAGAGTGGCACCCTGAAGGAACTAATGACAGGTGCTTCGTGCCCTCCCTAACTCTCTGCTCCACCAGTATCCACTTAGCTCCCATAAAGTCTTCAAATTGGACCCTCTTAAAATTTTTTAAAAGACAGATAAGATTGGCCATCCACTGGCTCTCTACTCAACTGGCTGCAACTGAAGCCAGGAGCCCAGAATTCCATTTTCTTTTAAAGAGATTGTTTTTATTTTTTTAGATTTTGTTTTTTATGATGTGGTTTTGTAGGCCTCCTGACTCTCCCCTCCACTTCCCATTCTTCCCTCCCAAGATTTATTTAGTTTTGTTTGCAAAGTGTTCATTAAAACAATTTTATTAACAATTATACATAGTAATGAACTACAGTGTCACACTTCAGTACATGTATATAATGTACAGTTATCGAATCAGCATGATCAATATTTCCCCCCCTTTTGACATTACTGTGACTGGAGGCCTGGAGTTCCTTTCTTCTATTTGCTCATACAATATTTAACAGGTTATTTTGAACTGAACTGTTTCACTATTCTGTGTAAAACTGGAAACTTATTCCTTCGATCCAGCCCTAACTTGAATCCCTGTTATCCAAACTTCCACTATTCCCTAACCTACCCTAGCTTTTGAAATCACGATTTGAAATTCACACTGGGTTTTGTTAGCTTCCGTAATAGGGGACAAATTGTGACTGCCTTTTTTTTTTCAATAAAGATTTATGTATTTGAAACAGCTACAGAGAGAGGGGGGTATTTTTCATCCACTGCTTTACTTTCTAGATGGCTTCGATGGCCAGCTCTGGACAGGCCAAAGCCAAGAGCTTCTTCTGGGTCTGCCACATGGGTGACAAGGACGCAATCATGGACCTCTTCTGCCACTTTTCCCAGGCCATTAACATGGAGATGGATGGAAAGTGGAGCAACCAGGACATGAATCAGTGCTCATGTGGGACGCTAGTGTCATTGGCAGTGGCTTGACCAGCTAAGCCAAAATACCAGCCCTGTGGCATCTGACTCTGTGTCCGGTTTATTTCACTTAACATGACATCCTCCTAGAGTGAGGATCTGCATCCTTGTTTTGTGTGGGTGCTCAAAATGCTTGATTGCATCATCCTGGGCTCCATGGACACTGGACGAGAAGTGACCAAACTGGGTTTCCTTCTAGATCTGCTCAAAAAGCTGATGTTATGTGAAGTGAATGAGCCACATGTGTAGTTTTGGCACTGGAAAACCTGTGCTGGCCCTTTTGAATGTTGCCATTCATCAACACACTCAGTTCCCCAGGGATCACATACACTTTCAGGCATATGTGCTGCCAGAGCAGTGGTTTTCCATGGTAGCTAAAAATGGCTTGGGCGCTGAACTTCTCTCTGGATGTGGAGTTGTTAGCGCCTGGAGTAAGGCTGTCCTCGACTGCTTTCCCAGGCCACAAGCAAGGAGCTGAATGGGTAGTGGAGCTGCTGGGATTAGAACCAGTGCCCATATGGGAGGACTTTATGGCGAGGACTTTACCACGAGGCCACTGCACCGGGCCCAAGGCATTGAAATTTTTACAGTATACTGCCTCAGAACTAAACTGCTCCTATTTCAGAAAAGCATACCTCTACCTATCTGGTCCTGCAGAGTAGGAAATAAGGGCAGATACAGAATTACAAAGAAAACTTAGATCACACAACATATATATTCCCTGTAAAAGTTGAGCAAGAGAACACTCCACATTCTTGTTTCTGTGCTCATCTATTTGTCCCACATTCTTCACATTTTTTGTAAATTTTCGGTAATGGTTGTTTAAAGGGCCCCAGGGAATTGTCTAGTGTTCTAAATTTAAGAATGCTGTGGAACCTTCTTATGGTGAAAATCAAGCTTCACTCAGGGATCAGATATAATGCTATCAGCCATGAGTTCAAAGCTAACTGGTCAATAGTGCATATTAGAGTGACTATACTAAAACACAGTACAGACAAGGTTATGTACTGCTGTGCCCAGTGGCTCACTAACCATGTATTTCCCCTAGGATTAGGGGTTCAGAATTCACTAAGTCACTGTTGATGACTTCACAGAACAAAGCTACTTCAAATAATGAGAAGTACATATCCAACCCCATTATCAAATCCTATCATTTCATTCCACAGCATGACTCAAATCCAAGTAACTTTTTTTTCACCTATGCTGTCACTTAGGATATTATCCCTTGACTCAAATAAACTTCCCTACTTTGAACTCTTCTAATCCGTTTTCTGCAAAAGAATCAAAATTACTCTTAGAGCATAATGGGTTGCCACTGTTGGTCCTTAAGCTGTCTGAATATTTCCGAATGCACATGACGTGAAACCTAAAACACTTAAGATGTTCATCCCCGGGATTACCCCGACAGCCTGATGACCTCTCCTGCTGCACTCAGCACCACTCCCCCCCGCATCACTGCAGACATTCTTCCTGTTTAAAAATCAAGGACGGGTCTCCGCGGCATGGCCTAGTGGCTAAAATCCTCACCTTGAATGTGCCGGGATCCCATATGGGCGCTGGTTCTAATCCCGGCAGCTCCACTTCCCACCCAGCTCCCTGCTTGTGGCCCGGGAAAGCAGTTGAGGACGGCCCAAAGCTTTGGGATCCTGCACCCACGTGGGAGACCCAGAAGAAGCTCCTGGCTCCTGGCTTCAGATCAGCATAGCAATGGCCATTGCGCTCACTTGGGGAGTGAATCATCGGATGGAAGATCTTCCTCTCTGTCTCTCCTCCTCTCTGTATATCTGACTTTCCAATAAATGAATAAATCTTTAAAAAAAAAAAAAAAAGGACATTTCAGCATCAGGGATTTCAAACACACAGTTTTGTCTCCTGTCTTTTCTTACATAACATCAACTCAATCTGCAAGTCAAGCTGTAAAGACCATGTTAAATAAACAAACGCACTTTCCAGTATAGAATGAGGTTAAACTTTATATGGCTTGGATAGAGTAGAAGTCCTAAGATAACATTTGTATTGACTATATAAAAGTATTGTACTTTACCAAAAAGCACAGAATGGTTACAAAGGAAAAATTATTTACTTCATTTAAAAGTGCTTTGGGGCCAGCATTGTGGCACAGTAAATTAAGCTTCCACCTGCAGTGCCAGCATCTCATATGGGCGTTGGTTTACATCCCAGTTGTTCCATTTCCAATCCAGGTTCCTACTAACATGCCTGGGAAATCAGGGGAAGATTGCCCTAGTCCCTGGCCCCTACGACCACACAGAGACCCAGAAGAAGTCCCAGGCTCCTGGCTTCAGACAGGCCCAGCTCTGGCCTCATGATCATTTGGACAGTGAGCCAGTGAATGAAAGATTTCTGTAAATCTGCCTTAAAACCTGATTTTTAATTTGAAAAGTTTTTCCATCTAAAGAGTAGTTACATTAGGTTTTCCCAATTTCACACTTTCCCAACATATCCTAAAATTGTCATCCTTTCCTTTAGATGATAAAGATTGCTTCTACTTTGGAAAAAGATCTAATTTCTTTTTTCTCTCTTTTTTTTTAGTTCTGCACCAAGAATTATTTTTTGAAATTATGTATGTATTTGACAGGCAAAGTAGTAGACAGAGCTCTCACCCACTGCTTCACTCCGCTAGGGCTCACAGCTGCCAGGACTGGACTATCCAGAAGCAGTAAGGCAATGCAGATCTCCCTCATGGCTGGCAGGGACCCGCACACTTGATCTGTCATTTATCAGATGTCGGCTGGAATGGGAATTGAACCCAGGGTCGGATGCCAACATCAATGAGGTTACTATGTAATTCTGTTAATTCACAATTTAAATATGTGCACAATTAAATATGTGCACAAAGGCAGCCCTGACAGCCTCTGTAAAATCATGCATTTCTTTGCAAGCTTCATACCACTAAATCTAAAAGCCCTAGGATCTTAAATTTGCTGCAACTCTTAAGTGCTTATTCTTAGTGGCTCAATCACAATCTGGCTATGTCCTAGGGTGCACCAAAATGTTTCTGAAAAATGAAATTAAGCATTTATTTTGGTGCAATGTTTTTGAAATCCGTGCATAAGTTCTTTTTTTCATAATACAAAACTTTCACAAATTTTTTCGAGTTCCTTCATATTATTCAGCTTTTTCATACTCTAAATGCTTTCAGGTGAATTGTTATAAACCAATTATCCTATTAAGATTTTATTAAAGATCTTTATTTGAAAGGTAGAGAGACAGGGATCTCAAATTCACTGGTTCACTTCTCAAATACCTACAACAACCAGGGCTTGGTCAGGTCCAAGCCGGAAGCCAAACCTCAGTTCAGGTCTCCCCAGGAGACGGCAGGGGCTCAGTCACAGGAGTCAAGCTGCTGCCTCCCAGTCTGTGCATCAGGAAGCCACAACCAAGAGCAGAGCTGTGACTTCCGCCCAGGTATTCACATCTGACAGGCAATGCGGGTATCCTGACTGCTAGGCCAAGTGCCTACCAACTGAAGACCTAGCACAGTTTTCAGAATTCTTACTGTCTTTCCCACACTGATTGTGCTTCAGTTTCATTATCAATTGTAGGGTCACCTATTACTGAAAAAGTGGAAGAAGCAATCACAACGTCCCGTAACACCTCATTGATTGCTATGTGTGACCTCATAGACTGAAATAGTTCCTTATCTTCTGCTTTTTACCATTCCAAAAAACTAACATTCCTGGATGTATCCTCTTAAAAGTAAACTTTGGTTCCAAGAAATAAAATTTGTTTTTCTTTTACAAATATCATGAATTCAGTTGCATTTTAAATACACACATGACATACTTCTCTACAGAAATGAATATTTTCTCTAAAATCCAGCAGTTTTCTGATTTTTTTCCCCAGTACTTTTTTCCACCAGGAGATTCTTCACGTTTTGAACAACTGTCCCCTATAACCATTATAATTAGTGACATTTCATCCAGTGCGGAGCACCAACCCTGTAATACCACAAATCTTTACTTTTTCTCATTCTCCCTGGTTTTTGTATGCCTTCATCTAAAAATCAGTGTTCACAAAATTGATTTTCACTTCTGTGTTATGCTGGTGACAAACAGAGCTGCTGCTACTGACAATGATTATGACAAAGTACTAAGCCTAGCCTCTCCACACCATTGTTACTTCACCACGATTGTTTCTATTAAAACATAATTTCCAGTAGCATTTCCAGGAAACGAGTAAGCATACCCATACACAGCTAAAGAAGAGTAAAAAATGGTGTTCATCAGGAAGGCAAAGCTGGGAAAGCATTAAACCAAAGGCTATGTAGCTTGGTGGCAGGAAGCTAGCCCAACTTCACCCAAGGCTTCAGTGCTTTTCTTTATATACTGACTTTTACAAATCCTTAAATTACAAAACAAACTAAACCATCATACAGTTCAAAACAGCTAATATCAGGCTTTGATAGTCCTACATAACTCCTAAGTTACAATCTGTCTCTCCGTATGTTGGGGGACCCTACATTTTCTTAAAAGAAACTAAGTCTTAATAGTCCATTAATTTATTAACTCATAGATTATTACATGAAAATTGCTCTGGAGTTTTTAAGATTTTTGCCTTTGAAATACTATCTTTTAAACCTATGATGAGGACCTTCCATTTCTCTGAGCTCTCCCAACATGAAGAATTTGGTAATAATGTTGGATTTCCAGGGGAAAAAAAATTATTAAAGTTAAAAACAGAAACGTCTAAAATTTTACTCCACTTAGAACCAAGCAAGTTAGGATGCCAAACTATATTGCTTACAAAATAAAATTTATACTCAAAATATTAAAGCTTTCTGTTATTCAGCCTCAAATTATTTTTGTTTCTATCTTGTTCTCTAAACCATTCCTAGGCTTTTTCATATAATCATTTGAGATCTTAACTGGTTTATAGTTATTTTTAAAATAAGACTCATTTATTTTTATTAGAAAGGCAAATTTACAGAGAGAAGGAGAGAGAAAAAGATCTAACTGGCTGCAACACCTGGAACTAAGCTGATCCCAAAGCCAGGAGCTTCTTCCAGGTCTCCCATGCAGGTGCAGGGTCCCAAGGCATTGGGCCATCCTTGACTGCTTTCCCAGGCCACAAGCAGGGCACCAAATAAGAAGTGGAGCAGCCAAGGCACAGAGCCCATATGGGATGCCCATGCCCAAGGCAGAAGACCAGGCGGTTGATCCACCACACCAAACCCTGGTGTATTTTGTTTCTTCAACTAAACCTAACTTGCAAGAAGATGGAGAACCTATCTACTTCATGCTTACCTGTACATACAATATCCACTTGGAAACTGTCCTACAGAAACTACTCTGGATAAGTACACTGGAAGAATTTATAAATGTTAAAATGTAATCTGTTTCTACCTAAAGTCGGCATGCATGCTATTTCTGCTTCCCCACTCTCACCAACGTTTCTCTTGAAACCCGTATGAATTCTCACCTGGCCAACAACCCGATAGGTCACCATCTGATAAATCTTCCCCTGAAGATTTACTTACATTTACTTACAAGAATTTATTTCACTCCCATCAGCCTTTATTATATCTTCTCATCAAGAAGATAAAAGAAAGGAAAATATAAAGAGGTTAAGAAATATGTGAGAAGCTACAATCCCAGGATCTAGGACTATAACCAGGTCTATCTCACCTCAAAGTCACTGTTTTGAAAGTTTCTTGTGTTGCATATTGAACTACTTCTTAGATAATGTTGCTGATTCAAGCCTGGTGTGGCCACATCAGAGCAGCACAATCTGGAGGAACCTCAGATGCTGCACAGATAAACAGGAGCAAGTGAAGCACTGACCTCAACACACCTCAGAAAGAAATGCACTTAACGCAGGAAGCACTCAAGAAATGCTTACCAGCAGCAGTTGTTTTTTTGTTTTTGTTTCCTCTAAGAGTTAAACGGTAAATATCTTAGGCTCTGTGAGCCATATAGTCTGCTGTCCAAACTAGATAGCAAGCTATATTTGGCCCCTGGTCATCATTTACCAACCCCTGCTCCTCAGCCTTAGCATTACTGGCATTTGGGGCTAGATGCATCTTAGTGGCAGAGGTCTGGCAGCCCCTGGTTCTCTACCAAGTGGACACCAGAGACACCCTGCAAGCTGCCACACCAGGGAGTCTCCTATGGAGCAAAACTGGCCCTACTTAATAAACACTGCTCCAAGTTAGCGAACATGTAAGGATATAGTTTGAGGTTTCTAAGAAAGAAAATGCCGTCACAAAATCAAAAGATAATGATTGAATGAAGTACATATACTTACTTAGCTAAAAGTCCCACACTTAGCAGTAACTTTACAACTTCTGTGATACACACCGCTGTGGTTGAAAAGTAGCGTTCTGTATTTGTTGTCCTCGTATACCTTAAAGCTATCGTGTAAGCTGCAGCCACCAGAGTCATCACTGTCAAGCAGTATAACTTGAATAGTAAACTGACATTTTCTGGAAAATACAACAAATGCATCACTTAGGAGATAGTATTATAAAAGTTAATCAACTAGTTATATGACAGAATGCTTTCTAATTTCAAGCAAAAAAATTTAAAGCCCATGACATTTAAAAATGTATTTTGAAGCAGTAATTTCCAATTATATAAACATGATGACAGCTGACTTCAAATATTAACAAGTGAGGCACACATTTTTTCCCCTGGGGAGTGTCTCAATTACAAGATTATGTGGCACACTGATTCAAGTTGAGGAAGTTATAAATTATGTATTTTAAATATCTTTGATTACAAACTTGTGAAAACAAAGCATAAAAATGAAAGAACATAATTGCCATGATGCATAAGGGTATCTCAAAAAGTTCATGGAAAAATGTAATTAAAAGATCAGTTTAGGGAGTGCCTGGGCTCAAGTTACGGCTTTGTTCTCCTAACTTCCTGCTAATGTACACCCCAGAAGGCAGCAGGTGATGGCTGCACAACTTGGCTCCTTGCTATTTGTGTGGGATACCCACACTGAGTCACTGGCTCCTGGCTTCAGGATGACCCAGCACACCTGCTGCAGGCATGTGCGACGTCTAGCTGCAGACAGGAGAGCTCTGTTACTGCTCTCCACAAATAAAATGAAATTCTAAAATTCAGTTTATTTTGTTACTAAAGAATTTTGAAGCCCACACAGTTTTTTCCATAACATGTATTTCCATGAACTTTTTGAAGACTGTATGCATGGACTTCAAATTTTGTACCAAATTAATTTATCTTTGAATTTCATTTTCTTTGAGCTTTGTGAAATGCCCTCACACATTGCATATTTAAGGATGGCAGAAAGGAAAAAAAAAACAGGGACGAAGGTGAGCCTAATGGGACTTCACTGAATTTGCTTCGGCAGAGCATACACTAAGACTGGAGCAGACTGAAAGATGAGCATGGGCTCTGCATAAGGTTGACATGCAGATTCAAAGTAGTCCATATTCTTTGTTTTCTCGTGGTTTGACTTGCTGCTTCATCTTCTGCATTTTCCTGGAATCTTTAAATGTATGACAAAACAGCTGAAAACAGTTAAATATCGTGGCAGGGGTCGTTCTTGCGGCACAATGAGTTAAGCTGCAATCTGTAGTACCATCATGCCATTGGAGCACCAGTACGAGTCTTGGCTGGTCCACTTCTGATTCAGCTCCTGCTAAGGAGCCTGCGGAAGCAGAAGAGGGCCTAAGAGCCCGGGGCCCCATCACTCACGAGAAAGCTGGATGGGGTTCCCAGCTTCTGGCTTCAGCCTAGCCTCATCAACCCACTGCGAACATTTGGGGCGTGAACTGGTAGACACATCTCTTTGCCTCTCTCTCTCCCTGTCTCTGTAACTTGACTTTTCAAATAGATAAATAATTTTCTAAACTTATCTTGGAAGGAAGATATTAAGATAATACATCCCATCTCTTTTTATTTGAAAGATTTACAAAGAGGAAGGGGGGGAGAGGGGGAGAGACATTCTTTCATCTACTTGTTCACTCTCCAAATGGCTGCAACTGCCGGAGCTAAACCTACTGGAAGCCAAGAGCCAGGAACCTATTCAGTGTCTCCCACATGGTGCAGGATCCCAAGGACTTGAGCCACCCTATGTTGCTTTCCCAGGCCATAGGCAGGGACACAGATTAGGAGTAAAAGCAGTTGAAGTCCGCCCAAGGCCTTGGGTCCCTGCACCCTCATGGGAGACCTGGAAGAAGCTCCTGATTCCTGCTTTGGATAGGATCAGCTCCAACCATTGTGGCCACTTGGGGAGTGAATTATTGGACAGGAGATCTTCCTCTCCATCTCTCCTCCTCTCTGTGTGTCTGACTTTCCAATAAAAATAAATAAATCTTAAAAAAAGAAAAAAAAAGAAAAGAAATAGAATAGCCAGGATACAACTTGGCATTCATATGGGATGCCAATGCCACAGGTAGATTAAGCTACTATGCCACAGTGCTGGCTGCACACTTGTTGAAATTCAAATCCCACCTACAGTTACCTTAGCAGGTCAGACCAATAATGATTTTGTGGGCCTTACACAGCCCACAGGCTGGACATTCTTCTACACCTAAAACAGTGGTTTTGATTGCAGCGTTCTGTTTATAAACTGTCATCCTTCTGTTAAACACACACAACATTTGCCCTTAACAAATGGGCATGAACTACAGTTTCTCCTTAAAGTTTAAGGCAACGACTTATTTCTTTCCTTTTGCCGATTTTCAGTGTATTCGACAAAGTGAGGAAAACAGTAACACCTAAAATAAATCCTGTTGACTGAGGGAAACAGAGAACTATCAAAATCAGAAGTATTACATCTAGTCTCCCATTTCACTGCATTATAAAGAAAAATAAATTTAAAAGTGTATTAAGAACAAAACTATAAAACTCAAGCAGCAGAAAAACACATCACTCAACTCAGAAAGAGCAAGTGTTCCCAAGCCGAAGCCATCACCCAGCACCAGCTTCAGACCAAACACTGGCATAACCCACCGCACTGGCATGCCAGGGTGCCTCCTACTTCCTTCACCCCGTTCAGACGCAGCCCTCAAGCTCAAACGAACTCTCCTTTACTTACCTCCCACTGCGCATGCCCTAGACATCCTTAACCTCCAATCTTCACATTCAAGTTAAGTGGAGATTGTCACTTTTTTCCATAAAGGACCTAAAATATTCTTGGAGTCAACCCTCCATATCCTTGGATTCAGCCCTCCATACTCTTGGATTCAACCAACTGTTATCTGAAAATATTCAAGGGGAAAGACTGCCTCTGTACTAAACAAGTACAAACGATAGAATGTAACAAGTACTTACAAAGCAATTATACTGCATAAGATGTCACAAGCAATCTAGAGATGATTCAGTGGATATGGGAAGCTGTGGGTAGGTTAAATTCATATACTATTAAGTTTCAGGATCCTGAAACCACTGTCCTGAGGATACTAAGAGCTGACTTTATTTAGGGCTTTCAGGGACACAAAGCAAAATTTTAAAAATCAAGTAAAGTACTTGTGTAACAAGACAAGATAAATATTTTGACAAATCCAAATTATAACTGAGTACATTGCATCTTAACAGATTCACTTAAGGAGAAGAATGGAACACAGGGATTAACATTTTGCTTTGGTGTTCGTGTTCTATCAAACCAATTACAATGTTTATCTATAAAAGTCATTCTTAGTCACCAGGTCATATAAAAGTCAGCAGTACGTCATTTGGCTAGTGGGCCATACTTGGGCAGGCGTCAGAAGGACGTGGACTGAATACCCACCCCTTATTAAAACTATCTCCCGTACTAAGTATCCTTTTGTTGACTGCTTTAGAAACCTAACCGCAACTCAAACATGACTTTGATAGAGAAATATGAATTTCAAAGAGATTACCTGTAAATCCAGGAACTTACAAGAAAACAGATTCCTTTTTATAAAAAATCTTCCCCTGGATAAATTAAAGCGTATTTCATTAACTGTAGGCCAAGGTTTAAGCCACATCGAATTTTAAATACAAAGTAGCACGGAAGAATTGAAGAATACAACTTATGCCTGCCTACATTTTCTTTCCAGAATATCTGAGGAACCAAAAGGCAACGTTTATGTAAAAGGAAGTAAGTGTGATCATGACAATACAACCTTGTTTAAACTTTCCTAAGTAAGACTTCCAAACCGAACAGCAGTAACTGATGAATCATTACCAGAAAGCAGTGCCCAGCTTGCAGACCAGGTGTGCAAGCCAACCACACTCCTCATTCATCAGGTCTGTCAGCTCGAAATGATTCACATTTCAACGAAGACAATTTTTAAGTAAAATTTTGTGACACATGAAAATGTGTTAAATTCAAATGTCAGTGTCTACAAGTTGTTTTACCGAAACAATTCTATGTTCATTTGTTTCCAAATTACCTTGGCTACATGTTCTCTGCAGCTCCAGCATTAAGCAGTTAAAGCAAACATCATCCAGCCCTTCAAAGAAAATGCTTGCCTACCCATGTCCCAGATGCTCCATCGCGCCACGCGTGGTGGCAGCTCAGCACTGTCAAACACAGAATTAGTGAACAAATTCAGATCTGCAGTTTTGTCATCAGCTTTGAAAAAAAAAATCTGTATAGTGATCATTTGGGAATGTGATTTATGTTCTTAAAGGCAACTAATGATCTGTGAGGAAAAGTAATGAAGCAAATTCAGACAGCAAAACACATTGGGCATGGTATGAAACACCACTTTTATTTTTAAAACATGGAATTCAACTTTTTAAAAGTGCATAGTCAATTTCTGTGTAATTTTCTCTGACATCTAGTTTAGCATTTAACTAAAACATTTCTTCTTTGCTCCATTCAGCGATCCCCCAGTATGAAATTTCAATTATTATGATTCATTTTTTCAGGTTAACATTCAAAATCCCATGACATGCCATCGTTTAAACCCTGTTGAGAATTCCAGCCGTGCCCAAGGTCAGTGGCCATAAACCTGCCCACAAGGCAGGGGGAGCCACCCTGTCCTCTGCTTCTTGCAAAGTTCTCATTACGTGTCATACAATATTTGCCTCAGTGTGGAAAATGCCCCGTAAGAGAAAAGTGCGGTCTGGAAATGCCTTTTCAGATACTTTTATGGTGGGCTTTATTTGTAGTCCCTGAGCATTGGTGACGGCAGCAAGCCTTAGGCTATCAGGAATCTAAAGAAACTGCTATCCTGATACCGTTCTAGGGGCACACCGGATATCAACTGCACAGCTATTAGCTGCAGTAAAGCCAAAGCTAACAGTCTGCCTTTTGCAATCAAGTTTTCATTCACTCTTGGTCTGGGTTATCTCCATTCTATGTTAGTTATCAAAACAATTCTTGTCGGTGCAGTGGGTAAAGCCAGCGCCTGGGACATGGTGGCCCACATCCATGGGACCCTGCTCTCCCGAAGGAAACCAGGATGAACCCGGCACAGCGGCCTTCAGGGGCGTGAACCAGATGTCGGAGGATTTCTGGCTCTTTCTCCCTTTCCAAAACTCTCCCTTTAAAATAAACAAACCGTTTTTTAAAGACAAAATCATATTTTTTTTCCCCTGTACTTTTTGTGTTGCTACAAAGACTGCCAAGGTTGGATTTATTTTAAATGGCATAACAAATGGGCAGGGCCTGGCAATAAATGAAGACGCCTTCAACAAGGAAAAGAACTTGGTATCCATGTAAAAAAAAAAAAAAAAAAAAGGGTATTTAAATATTTGCTCAAAGATTGTTTAGAAGTGAAGCCAAGTTCACAGGCAGGGGATGGGCGAACAGGACAGGGAGTAGAGCAAGCGCAGAAATGTCACTCAGCCTCTGCTAGCCACTGCTCTACAGTCCAGAACTTCAGCGCCGGCCCAACTGATACATGCCACTCTGCAAAGCAAAACTGCAGCCTCAAACGGCGTTTAGGCACCAAATGCCACCCCTTGGGGGTAAGGAATACGGATCTCAGCTTCCATCCAAAACATCAGTATTCCTTCCTCTTGGACTGTTAAGGACTCTTTCCAATGCTGTGTCAATGCCCCAGGCAGAAGTGGGCTTAGTGGCCGTTCCACGCAAACCAGCCGCTGCGTGGGCTCTGCACCCAGGATGCCCTTTAAGTCTGAGCATCGTGGGGGCAGGAGGCACAGAGGGGACGGCAGCCCGGCGACCCCAGCCAGGACTCACAACTGTCCGGCCTCTCCGCTGGGCAAGCGGGTCCAGCCTGGGACCTGCGCTGCAGCCCCGACCTGTCAGAGCTCAGTTCTAACTCCACCAGCTCCGGGAGGCAGGCGTGCTGCTCTGGGACCACTGGCTGCCCGGGCAGATAGGCAGGGCAGCCGCAGTGGGAGGGCGCCCGCCTGCGCTGCCTTCACAGCCTGGGCACGGCTTACCACAAACTCCTGCCTCCGCACGCCTCGGCCGGGCCTGGCGCCCTGCCGCCCCAGGGATGCGGCGCCGCCCGCACAGCGCCCCAGACCCCCCGCCCCGGGGCCCAGGTCTCACCTCTCGCGGCAGCCATGGCTCTCGGATGGCCCCATGCGGAACTGACGCACGCCCCCTCCGCGCCACCCACAGGGGCCCGCCCCCTGACCATAGAGACGAAACCTGCGGGCTAGAGCGCCCCGAGCCGGCCGCCATCCGCGTCCTCCGAAGGCCGACACCAAGATAGGCGCAGGGATCCCAGTTATTCCCGAAAACAGGAAGACCCGCACGAAGCGAGGCCGTTATTGCTGAATCCTTAGTGACCAATACGCGAAACTCGGCCCAAGGCGATGTTTGATGAGCTGCATCCTCCGACAGGCCAAGGACACCAAGGGAGCCGAGCATTGCCTTCTGGGAATTGTAGTCCTCAAAGAGGAGAATTAGGCGGCAAATAAAGCTTGGAGTGAGACTTTGTGAGTGCTTCATTCCTGTTCAAGTTGTTGGAGAACCTCGCAGAGCGGAGAAGTTGCTTTTCTGCAATGCATCTCTCTCATGTTTCCTTGCTACTTCTTGTGTAAATTTAATTCGCGTTAGATATTGTTCACAAGTCTTCTGCCGGTGACCTTGCTGTTAGCAGGAGTTACATTTATCTAGCCAGACATTCTAACCGTATGATCTTCAGACAGAAAAAAAGCCCTCGAAAATTCTACAAGTATAAACACGCAACTCAACCACCACAGGACTACTGGAATCTCCAGTTTCCCTGGAGGCTGTTGATTCACATTGGCAATATTGGAAATAAGATATGTGGATATAAAAGTACTGCGTACCTTCCAGGAACAATACAGCCCAGCAGCCTGCCCCTCCTGTAGATCACCTCTGTAGTGGAGTCAGACAGGCAAATGTTGCGTGCTCTAGTCTAGGCGCTAGTGAGGATGTGTCTAGTCTGTGCACACCACCCCCAAGCCTTGCATCCTGTGCGACTGTGGGGAGGGGCTGCCGGGAGGCCAGAGTGGGCTTTGTAACATTACACATTTCAGCCCTCCCACTTAGAGCCCAGGTCTGTCGGCCTGGTGGTGTGTGTGCTGATCACCCTCTTCTGTTGTTGTTGAAGCTCCTTCCTGGAGAATTATGCATTTTGCTATAGCATATGTTCTTTTACAATACATTTAAGCAACAAACTTGTATATTTACTTGAAATTTTTGAATTAAATATTCTATCATTGACCCAGAGCAATGGCTCAATGGCTAATTCCTTGCCTTGCATGTGCCTGGGATCCCATATGAGTGCTGGTTCATGTCCCAGCTGCTCCACTTCCCATCCAGCTCCCTGCTTGTGGCCTGGGAAAGCAGTCGAGGACAGCCCAAGTCCTTGGGCTCCTGTACCCACATGGGAGACCAGGGAGAAGCTCCTGGCTCCTGGCTTCAGATCAGCTCAGCTCCGGCTGTTGTGGCTGCTTGGAGAGTGAAACAGCGAATGGAGGACATTTTCCTCTGTCTAGTCTTCTCTCAGTAAATCTGACTTTTTAATAAAAAAATAAAGAAATCTAAAATGATCTATCATATTCCTCTTTTGTGTTTAGATTTACAGCTTTGCATAATTCCTTTCTCTTCACATTTGAGAATATAGTATCAATCTACTTAGATTATAATTATTCTCTTTATGATGCTCAAACTCAGTATGAACTTTTTTTTTAAGATTTATATATTTATTTGAATGGCAGCATGAGAGAGGAAAATTGTCCATCTGCTGGTTCACTCCCCAAATGGCCACAATTCTAGGGGCTGGAGAAGTCTGCAGCCAGGAGCCCTGATCTCCTTCTAGGTCTCCTAGTGGGTGCCAGGCCCCTCCTCCACTGCTTTCCAAGGCCATTGCAAGGAGCTGGATTAGAAAGTGGAGCAGCTGGGACTCAAATCAGCATATGGAATGTTGGCATTGCAGGTGGCGGCTTAACCCCATATACCATACCACCAGTGCCCCACCTGTATCCCATGCCTGAGATAAATAATTATTTAAAGGTTTTTTTTTTATTTGAGAGATGGAGAGATATGCACTCTACAAATACTCACCCGCCCTGGTCAGAGCTGAGAATGAAGAATTCAGTCCAAGCCCCCTGAATGGCACCAGGAATCCAAACAACTTGAGTCCTCACCACTGCCTCCCAGGGTCTCAATCTGCAGGAAGTTGGAGTCGGGATCCTAAGCTGGCAGATCAGGAACTTAGTCTGAACTTGTTTTCTTGTTTTCTTTCTCTTTTTTTTTTAAGATTTGTTTATTATTTTTATTGGAAAGGCAGATATACAGAGAGGAGGAGAAACAGAGAGGAAGATCATGGCAAGTTCGATGACTTTAACCACTACGCTATCACGCGGGGCCCTAGTCTGAGCTTGTTTTCTTGTCAATTGCCCAGAATCTTAGTGGGGGTAAAATTACTGGTTTAATGTTGTCCTTTAATGTGTGCCAGCTTTGTTCACAACCCAGCTCAGAGGAAGTAGCAATTTTCAACATATAGGGCATAAAGTCACATTGCCTGCCAAGGTAGCTTTATAGTGCTTCAAGCAGCAGTGTCATTCCCAATTGTTACCTGTAGTACCCGCTTTGATCCCCTGATTGCTTCTATCTTTGCCCAGTAATGAAAGCTCCTCTAGTTTACATCAATTGTATAAAAGGAGGCACGGCACTGTATCTGTTAGTAATAAAATATGAACTCAAACAAAAAAGACTGTGTAAGAAGGAAATACCTAAAGTTTAAAATGGTTATTGTTAAGTTCAAGTATGCTAGCTACACACAAGATTACAAGCGATGGTAATTACGGTAAACAGATAACCATAAAGAACACAGAGACAAATGCAGACTCATAAATACAATTGTTTCCATTACAATTAAGCTTATTATCCACATTCTGCCAATAAGAAAAACTTCCCAAGCCAATTTGATGGCTAATTAATCCTCAAACAACTCTTTCCAGTAGTGCAATATTAATTTTACAAAAGTCAAAAGAGGCCTTTCAGTTTATAAGTAAGAAAATAAAATGATAAAAGGAGCTGTTGCAAAACTCAGCAAATGGACAAGGAGATTGCAACATGGCACTAACCCGCAGTCTGCACACGTGTCTTGCTTGAGGGGGCCGCTGCCTTGCCTCTGCTGCCTTCTTTAGTTTCATGATCTCACTTTCCTGTCAGTTCCTCCTAGGGAATCTGCACCTGCTTACATCATTTGCTGCTCAACTTGCTGCACTCTTATTTCCGCTCGAGCTGAATCTACTAGAAGCTCAGCACTTGCTACCCCACTGATCTTTCCTAATTCCTCACCCTCTTCTGTTTATCCATCATTTGCTGCAAGTCATAATGTACCAAGCATTATCCTAGGCACCAATTGGGAGCCAGAAAACAGAAATGGAAAAATCAGGAATGGGAGCACAGTAAAAAAAAAAAAATCCGGCTCCGCCCACAGCCAACGCAGGTAAATCTCTTTCCAGCTAAGTGCTTTGTGTCTGCTTAAGGCCTTCAATCTCCATGACAACACAATCAGCTGAAAATTATTATCCCCATTCTACGATGATGAAACTGCAGCAGAAATATTAAGTGACAATAACCAAGAGGTGAGACCAGACTTTTCTTGCATGACCATAAAAATTCCTTTACAGCTTTTTCTACTTTGCTCAATTCTACCCTAAATTTTGTCTCTTCCTCCTCTTCATTCCATTGCCACTCCTACAGGGAGGACTTAATTCATGATTCTTACCATTCTTTAGGCTCAAAGACAAACAATTTCTCTTTTTTTTTTTCTTTCTTTTACTACCAGTCCCTCTTTCCAGTTATCTTTGGTCTCCTGGAGCAGAAACCCTGAGGTCACATCATACTTCGATTTTTCTGCCCTTTCCTGGGATGTCATGTTCCATCAGTCTCACACCTGCCCCTTCCCATCATCCACCACACACCCCCATTCTTGCAACAGCCTCCTAGCCATGTCCCAACTCCAGGACCTCTCTGCTACCATCCATCTTTGTTCAAGAACTTTCAATGATTTTCTAATTTCCCACCATAAGAAGGCAGAATATGTCATTGCCTCTCCTAGACTTCCAAAAGGTATACCAACTATGCAACTGTAACTTTACTTCCCACCACTTCCCCAAAGATAACTTCCCATTTTCCTTTCTCCCTATGCTCCTTCTTTCTGTTAAGTTATTTTCCTCTAAAAACCTTATCAGTTCCCATGTTGTCTATTAAAATTATTACTTGGACAACACTGTTTATAACTTGTCTTTCCCTTCATTCCATAAAAAAAAAGAAAGAAGAAAAAAATTAAAAAACATTGGGGCTATCGCCATAGCTCAACAGGTTAATTCTCTACTGTCAAGCACCAGTAACCCATTTCAGTGCCTGTTCATGTTCTGGCTGTTACACTCCTGCTCCCTGCTTATGGCCTGGGAAAGCAGTGGAGGATGGACCAAAGTCTTGGAACGCTGTACACATGTAGGAGATTGGGAAGAAACTCCTGGCTACTGGCTTCATACTAGCTCAGTTTCAGCAGCTGTGACCATTTGGGAAGAGAACTAGCAGATGGAAGACCTTTCTGTCTCTGCTTCTCTCTGTAAATCTCAATTTCCAATAAAAATAAATAAATCTTTTAAAAAATGACCAATTTATTTGAAAGAATGAGAATCTTCAATTCACTGACTTACTTACCAGAGGGAAGGGCTGAGCTGGGCCGAAGCCAGGAGCCTCATTCAGGTCTTACACAGGGGTGGCAGTTCCTGGGTCATTTCCATTGATTTTCCTAAGCCATTATCATTGGAAGGGATCTGAATCGGAAGGAACAGCCAGGACAGGATCTAGCACCCAAAGGATCCAGCCTCACAAGTGGAGGCTTAACCCATTAAATCACCATACCAGCCTTCTTTTTAAAAAAATTAATTCACTTATCCAACAAGATACTAGTAGTGTCATACATATAAAAAAGACTCAATCTGGACCTGGTGCAATAGCGTAGTGGTTAAAGTTCCAGCCTTGCACGCACCAGGATCCCATATGATAGCCAGTTCTAATCCCGGAAGCCCCGCTTCCCATCCAGCTCCCTGCTTGTGGCCTGGGAAAGCAGTCGAGGACAGCCCAAAGCTTTGGGACCCTGCACCCGTGTGGGAGACCCGGAAGAGCTCCTGGCTCCTAGCTTTGGATTGGCTCAGCTCCAGCCGTTGCAGCCACTAGGGGAGTGAATCATCGGACAGATCTACTCTGTCTCTCCTCCTCCTATGTATATCTGCCTTTCCAATAAAAATAAATAAATCTTTTTTTAAAAAAAAGACTAAATCACAGTTCAAATCTCAAGAAATTCACTATTTAGCAGGGAGAACACAGATGAATACTGTTACGGGGTGCGAGCGAGATCACACCAGACATGTCTAAGGTTTGATTAAGGAGTCTTTATTAACCAAGCTTGGTGATAACAGAATATACTAAAATAACAGATCACAAGTCCAATCAAAGCAGTACACAGGGACCATGCTCAGGGGATTACCTGTCCTGGATCAGCCAAGAGTCAAAGTGCCAGAGTAACGGGAACACCTGACCAGAAAGAGAGCGAGCCCCCACTTCACGGGCCTTTTAAAGGGGCTTGTGATGGGAGTGGTTACACAACAATACAATACCATCCCCTCTCAGTTGATAGGTGAGTCACAGGTGGGCAGGAGCGAATACCTAAGTGTTGTGAGTTAAGGAGTTAATTGGCACTCATTGGGATGGGCAGGAAGAGGAACTGGGATTGTAGCTAAAAGGACTAACTGGATTCATCTGCGTCCAACATCCCGGCCGAATTAGGACGTGGGGGGAAGGAAGAGTATACAGGAGAGGTGAAGGAGCAATCATTGGCTGCACTCCATAACAAATACCTAGCTATGTATCTACTTAATTCCTATTAGAAGCCTCATAAAAATCTTATGAAAATACAAAAGAATCAATTAATTACATCTGATAGGAAAATTACTTACATAAGACATAAAATCTGGGAGCCAATGTTGTGGCATTTTGAGTAAAGCTGCCACCTGAGACACCAGTTTGAGTCCTGGTTGCTCCACGTCCTATCCAAATCCCTGCTAATGACCTGGGAAAAGCAGTGGATTGTGGCCTGAGTGTGTAGGTCTCTGCTATTCCTTGGCAAAACCCTGAATAAAGTGTCTGGCCCCTGGCCTCACCTTGGCCCAGCCCTGGCCATTACAGCATCTAGTAAGTGAACCAACAGATGGAAATTCTGTGACTTTCCCATCCTTTCCCTCTAACTCTGCTCTTTCAATAAAATAAATATTAGGAAGGGAAGGGATGGGATGGGAAAAGGAAGGAATGGAGGGGAAGGGAAGGGAAGGGAAGGGAGGGGAAGAAAAGAAAAAACGGATCAGGTTGTTTCAGGACCAGGATAATTTCATGGGAGTGCCTACGGGGTACATTTCAGGTGACAGAGTGAAAAGCAAGTGCAGGAATGGTGGTATTAAAGACCTTGACCTATTGGAATAGTTTGGGTTCAATTTGGCTAATATCCGTTGTGTATGTGTGTGGGCAGAGAGGAGGAAAAACAATGGAACTGAAAGACAAACAGGGGTCATAGTTTGAAAACTTCTATAAGATATGAGAGGATTTTTTTTTTAGGTAATGGAGAAGAGCCTGTGGGATTTCACGCAGGGAAGGTGAAGCTTTGGGGAGGAGCCCAGGGGGCATGTTCAGATGCCCCTGTTAGTCAGGCAGCAGGCATGAGCGCAGTAAGACAAAGCCCCGAACTACCGTCTCTCCTAGTTCCCCTTGTTCTTTTTTTATACTTACCAGTCAACTTTCTGAAATTAAATCTGGCTTTCCAAATTTTTATTCATTTAGCCATTCTAATTCTTGTCCAAATTTTGGTGACCCACATTTGTGATTTACAGCCATTCTTCTCTGTGATTAGGAATCTCAGATGAGGGTTAATGAACAGATAAAATCAACTCTTGAGTTTATAAACTTTAGTGATACCTTAAAATCATTCCAACCCACTGTACCCCCAGGCTTTCCCATAACAGCAAGCTAACCAGCTTATCTTTATTATCACTTTTAAACTGTATGCAGAATCTTCATTTAGAAATAGGTCTCTTTGATAATATCTGTGGGAAATGAATCTCAACTTTTATTGACTTCATAAATAATATTTAGCCCGCATAGAAAAAACAAATTATACATTAAAAAAAAAATTAAAGCCATCATGGAGGGCCTAGCACGACTGCTCAGTGGTTAAATCCTCACCTTGCAAGCACCTGGTTCATGTTCTAGCTGCTCCACTGCCTATTTAGCTACTTGTTTTGGCCTGGGGAGTGAACCAGTGAACTCAGGATCTTTGTGTCTCCTTCTCTTTATAATTCTGACTTTCCAATAAAAAATAAATAAATAAATAAATAAATAAATAATCAAGCCACCATGTAGACAGTATTGTGTTGCAACAACTTAGGACCCCAACATCCCATATGAGAGCTCTGGTTCCTTTCCCAGCTGCTCTGCTTCTGATCCAGCTCGCTGCTAATGTGCCTGAGAAAACAGCAGCACACCGCCAAAATGCACGGGTCCCTACCACTCATGGGGGAGACCCAGATGAACTTCTGGCTCCTGGCTTTGCCTGGCCCAGCCGCAACCGCTGTGACTGTGTGTAGTGTGAACCAGTTGATGGAAGGTTGATCTATCTGTATGTGTGTGTGGCAAATAATTTTTAGGTAGGGAAAATATTCTAAATATAAATGACCTGCTAGATATCAAAGCAGGCTTCTTGCCCATGAGTTGGTACAAGAAAAAAGTAAGGCAGCAATAATAAAACAATAGCTCGACAATGCAGCCGTCTGTGATTCATACGAACCCTAAATACATCTGCTTGCAAAGTTTGGAAACATAAGCCACGGCATGCAGAGAAGAGGCCTTGAAGGCAGCAGTGACTGGGTGAGACAGTGGAGTCCCACAACTGCTTGCCCTGTCAAAACAAAGCTGTTACCTGCGGGCAGCCAAGTGTTACGTCTACTAAAGCTAACACATATCGACTAGGTTTTAAAATGTTAATGTTTAACACTCAACATGACTTGAGAAATAAATGACCTCCTAGTTCAATCATAATAATCTTACATGGCATCATTTCATAATAATCTTACATGACATCACTTCAATCATAATGCTGCCAAAATTTTATAGCAAATAAAAGATAACTGGAAAGCGTTTTGCTTTTCAGTTTTAATAGGATGAAAAATGTGTTGCAGAAAACAACTTTTAGTTTTTTGTAGTATTTTGATGGAATAAGGAGATCCAGCAAAAATTTACACAAACAGTAAATGTGCCACTTCCAGAAAAATTAATTTTCATCAATAAGAAAGTGTTCAAGTTCACAGTTGGGTAACATTTGCTTGAAACACGAGGTCTCCAACTAGGTTTCATTAACAGATCTAGTTAGGTTCACCTTGACCCCATGGGTGACTTTACTCTTCCCCCCACGAAGACCAGCTATGTAGATCTGGGGCCTGGGCACTCGGCTGCTGCCTTCTCTCATGGACTGTGTGCCAACGTCCTTGGGAGGGTACACCTGTGAGCAATTTTCTCTTCTCATGTGACTAAGATCAGTCTGTACTGAGTGGGTAATTTTCTTACGCAAATTGGCCTGAGTAGAAAGAGAAAACATAAGTTAACATTTTTCTATGGAACAAATCACATAAAGTATTATCAGGTGATAGCTAATGTCCACTAGTATCTTTACTCAACCCTATTCAAACTCCCAACCCACGCACCAGTCTACCTCAGGCACTGAAAGATCTGCTCTATCGAACTTTAAACTTCCTGACTCCTCCTTTGACACACTGCCAAGCTCTGTTTTCTGGTGTGGCTTTTAGGCGAAGGTTTCAGCTTTGTCTTATCAACAGGTTAGGAAGTGATGCTCAGAAAGCTGGCATTTGTCACGATGCAATTTTAGGGAGTAATGATGTTAACAGTAGAAATCAGAATTAAGTGGAGATTTAGGAACGGAAAGAGAAGATTCAAGTCAGTCTGAAATTCAGCCATCTAAATGCCCATTGTCTGCTACCCCTGCCTCTCATCTCTATCCAGTTAACACCAGTTCTTTAATCTCGAGACCAATTCTTATTTCACTTCTGCAATTTGCCATTTACCAAATGTACCATTTACCAAGAGGTACCACAATATTTTTAGTGTATCGGAATCTCTTGCTAGACTCTTAACCCCAGACGAACAAGATAATGGTGTGTTATCCAATAAATGTCTATGAAGTTGTAAGTTAATGAACAACAGAAAACAACACAGGAGATGAGTGTTGCATGAGTTACAGAAGAGTAACAAATAGGGATTCTAATGGAACAGTGATCTGGACAGTATTTCGGAAACATCGTCTTTCCTCATCCCAGGAAATTAAAGAGACTGGAAAGCTGCCTCCAACGAGAGGAGCAAAGAAAATTATGTAGTTACTGGGACAGCTGTGAGAGACTGAATGTATAAACAAAGGGCATGCCAGTACGAAATTGAACTGACACCTTTTGCATGAACCAGTTTAGTTTACACTTCCACGAACCATTGTTGGATTGAGGCTTTTCTTTGCCCCATATCCATACCAGATTTCTGTATGATAGCCATTCTTCCTGGGGTTAGGTGGAACCTCATCATGTGAGTGGTTTGGTTTTTATTTTTGTTTTTGCATTTCTTTGCTAGAGAATTTGAGCATGTTTTCATATGTCTAACATCAATTTGAATGTCATCTTTTGAAAAATGGCTGTCCGTGTCCTTTGCTCATTTCTTAATTGGATTGTTTGCTCTGCTGTCATTGAATTTCTGGAATTCTTTGTAAAACCTGGATATTAGTCCTTTGTTGTGTAGTTTGCAAACTTTTTTCTCCCATTTTGTTGGCTATTTCTTCACTTTACTGACTTTTCCCTTTGCAGTATGGAAGCTTCTTAGCTTGATATAATCCCATGCTTTTGGGATATTTTTCTTTTTTTTTTTTTTTTAAAGATTTATTTTATTTTTATTGGAAAGGTAGATATACAGAGAGGAGAGACAGAGAGGAAGATCTTCCGTCCGATGATTCACTCCCCAAGTGAGCACAACGGCCGATGCTATGCCGATCCGAAGCCAGGAGCCTCCATTAGGTCTCCCACATGGGTGCAGGGTCCCAAAGCTTTGGGCCGTCCTTGACTGCTTTCCCAGGCCACAGGCAGGGAGCTGGATGGGAAGTGGGGCCGCCGGGATTAGAACCGGCGCCCATATGGGATCCCGGGCGTGCAAGGCGAGGACCTTAACCACTACACCATCGCGCCAGGCCCACTTTGGGATATTTTTCTATGAAGTCTGCCTATGCCAATGTTTTTGCAGAGGGGCCCGATGTTCTCCTCTAGTACTCTGATAAAGAAAAATAACAACCCTTGTAACGGCAGCAGTAAACTCAGAATGGTTAGGATTTGGCCAGCTCTTCCCTAACTCAAAATCAACAAAAGAAAGCCAAATACATTCACTAAGTCAATCACAGATGGCTTGTTGTTAGCTTGCCTATAGTTTTCTCATGTCAACAACTTCCCATCAGAGGACACCTGAAGTGTTCCCCCTTTCTCACTTTAAAACACCTGATGCCTCTCCCTGCTTTGAGTTGGCCAGATGCAAGTGACCACAGGCTAAGTTCCTTGCTATGGCCTCTAGCAGTGCCTGAGTTCAATGTCTGACTCCACTCCTGTTTTCTAGCTTCCTGCTAATGTGGACCCTGGGAGGCAGTGATGATAGCTGAGGAAACTGGGTACCTGCATGAGAAGCGAGAGATCTGACTGCCCACGCAGGCATTTGGACAGTGCATCAAAGGGAAGCTGCCTCTCTCTGTCTCTCAGAATTTTTAATTGCCTGATTCCAGTAAAAGAAATAAATTAAAATATGCCAAGAAAAGGCTACAGACATTTAGACTTTTATCTTAACACCAATAAGATATATGTAAAAAATGACATGATATTATATTTTAAAAAAGATAATCGAGGAAATTCCATCAAGTTAGGTAGGGATGAGTTTCAAGGCAGTTGGGAATCAGAAGAATAAGAAATCCCAGTGTCAGGAATACAGTGACATTAAGAGGAATAACATCTTTAATTTTATAATAAAAGGGCATACTTTAATCAAAGAAAATGGAAATTTCTTTAAATACTAGCAGCAAGTTGGTTAGCAGCCCTATCAAATTTCAAACTCCCTAACTCCTCCTTTGACACGCTGCCAAGCTCTGTTTCCTGAAATGGCTTTTAGGCAGTGATTTCAGCTTTGTCTTATCAACAGGTTGGGAAGTAACGTTCAGAGAGCTGGCATTCGCCACGATGCAACAGCTAACGCTGTTCAATGACTGGCTGATGCAATTTGAGAGTAGTTTCATTTTGTTGATATTTACATATTTATCTAAAATTGGAAAAACAATCTTACATCCTAAAGCTGGGAAATAATACACTATTTTAATTATTTTTATTAGTTAAAAGCTCTGAAGAGCTCATTATTTTATATATAAATAATTTTTCAACTTCGTAACAACATTCACAGTCTCTATAAATAAATTTCAGAAAACACTGTTACAAACCATTTTTATAGCCTTTCTTCTTAATTCCCACTCATTCCATTCATACGATCTCACAATTGTTGGCGGCAAGATATGTGTATCTGTCTGTGTGCTGCTTTCATTCTTTGTAATTGGTTTTATATAAAGTTTGTTAACATCTCTCATCTATAGAAATGAAATTTGTAATTAGAACTTGTAAAAATAAAGTTATTTACACACAATTGAAAATATTTTTCTAAAATTGGGAGATTAGAAAAATGAGAATTCTTGAATTCCACACACTTACAAATACCAGAAGAGAAAGAAAGACTCATAGTTAGTGAATACATAATATATGTGTATATACATACACACATTTTTAAAAAACATTTTTTTTCATTGCAAAGTCAGATATACAGAGGAGGAGAGACAGAAAGGAAGATCTTCTGTCCAATGCTTCACTCCCTAGTGGTCAAAACGGCCAGGACTAGATTGGCAGTGGGGCAACTGGGACTCAAAACAGCACCCAAGTGGGATGCCAGTGCTAAAGGTGGCTTAACCTACTATGTAGCACCGGCCCCCTGAAAAACACTTTTTAACAACCAGAGGATCATGGTAGATCCAATAAGCTTAAGATAAAATAGTTCACTGGTTATCTGATTGTAAAAGATCATAGATGGAATTAGAAGAAGAAGCATTGAAAATACATGTAAACTTTGAATTTTGGACCAAAAGGTTTGGATCTTAGCAATAAACACTGAGGATTTTGACTTCAGAATAAAAAGTTGATTGAGATTTTTCCAATTTGCAAAACAATTAATTATTTAAATAGTACTCTCAAAAATTTTTTTAGGTAGTTGGCCAGTGCATTTTTTTTTTTTTTAAAGAATGTTGTATACTGAACTTACGATAGCAGAGCTGAGGTTGTGGCACAGTGTGTTAACCACCACTGGCGTCCTTTACTGGAATACCAGCTCAAGTTCCAGCTGAATGTCCTCCAATATGTTCTCTGCCAATGTACCAGGGACAGTAGCAGCAGATGGGCCAAGTTCTTGTGCCCCTGCCATCTGTGCAAGATACCCAGATGGAATTGTGGGCTGATAACAAGCATTTCAAGTAAGAACCAGAGGATGAAAGAGCTTTTGTCTCCCTTCTCTCCCCATCTCTCTGTCACTCTGCCTTTCAAGTAAGTAAAAAATAAATCTAAAAGCCAAAATAACATTCATCAAAAAAAAAAAAAGAAAAAACCAGAGTTCCAAGGACTCTATAACTTTTTAAAAATTTATGTATACACATGAAAATATTATTTTTCAAGGGAATAGATACATATATTTGTTTAAAAACAAAAAATATATTTCAGGGCCCAGGGTGACAGCCTACTTGATAAACTCCTTGCCTTGCATGCCCTGCAATCCCATATGGGCACCAGTTAGTGTCCCAGCTGCTCTACTTCCCTCCCAGCTCCCTGCTTGTGGCCTGGGAGAGCAGTTGAGAATGGCCCAAAGCCTTTGGATCCTGTACCCATGTGGGAGACCTGGAAGAAGCTCCAGGCTCCTGGCTTCAGATCAGCTTAGCTCTGGCAGTTGCAGCCACTTCAGAGAGAGAACCAGTGGGCAGAAGATCTTCCTCTCTGCCTCTTCTCCTCTCTGTATATATGACTTTGCAATAAAAATAAATAAATCTTTTAAAAAAGTATATTTCAAAAGTAAGCTAAATGAAAGGTGCACTTCCATAATATAGATGTCAATAATAAATCATCTTATATCACAAATAGAAATTTTCATTCATGAGTAAATTCACAAATATAATCTATATGTTAAAGAAAAAAACTGTAGAAGAAATCAGAAAATACTTAGAACTGACAAAGATGAAAATAATTATTATGCTTATAAGTATGTGACATATAACTCAAGTATTATAGTGAAAAGTAAATTCCACAGTAGCTGGGTCATTAGCTAAAGTTCTGATGAGTGACCTTGACGCAGGAGTCATGAACCAGCTCTACACATAACATGCTGTTGTTGCAAAGACATCATTCTTGAGAGCTGAATTAGTAAGCTAACACCAGGTTCTGTCAACTGAAGCTACACTGTTCAATCATTATAGTTATTCAATGAATGGACTGAAATTCAATGAAACTTACTGGTCCATTCCCATGGCACCAAAGCCAGACTTTTGTTGTTAGCTTGGAATCAAACTTAAGTCAAACCTCCCATGATAACCTGATCAGAGAAACTGCAGAAGTCTTCAGGCAGGAAAATACATAACTACATTGTTTGTAAATCAAGATCCAGACTTTGTAGCCCAGATTTCTTCACCCCCAGAAGGTGGAAGGAGTTAAATGTATTATCTGTCACAGAGCTATGTGCAGTGACAACCATTTTCTTTTTCTTTCTCATTTTCTTTCTTATTTTCTTTCCTTCTTTCTTTTTTTCCTCTTTTTTCTTTTTTAAAGATGTTTTATTTTTATTGAAGTCAGATATATAGAGAGAAGAGACAGAGAAGATCTTTCCTCCACTGATTCACTACCCTGTGAATTCACTCTCAATTCATTGCCCAAGTGGCCGCAATGGCAGGAGCTGAGCCAATCTGAAGCCAGGAGCCAGAAGCCTCTTCTGGATCTCCCACATGGGTGCAGGGTCCTAAGGCTCTGGGCTGTCCTTGACTACTTTCCCAGGCAACAAGCAAGGAGTTGGGTGGGAAGTGGGGCTGCCAGCATTAGAACCAGCACCCATATGGGATTCTGGCAAGGAGTTTAACCGCTGGGCTACCACGCTGGGCCCCTTTTCTTTCTTTCTTTCCTTCCTTTTTTCCTTCTTTCCTTCCCTCATTCCTTTCCTTGCTCCTCTCCTCTTTCCATTTCCCCTCCTTTTCTGATTTATTTTTGCTTGAAAGGCAGAGTTATAGAGAGAGAGAACATGATCTTCCATCTGCTGCTTCACTCCCCAAATGGCTACAATGGCCAGAGTTGAGCCAGTCCAAAGCCGGCAACCAGGAACCAGGAGCTTCTGCTAAGTCTCCCATGTGGGTGTGTGGACCTCAGTACTTGGGCCATCCCTCGTTGTTTTTCCAGGCCATAGAAGGGAACTGGGTTGGAAGCGGACTAGAATCAGCACCCATATAGGATGCCAGCACCACAGGCAGAGGCTTAGCCTGTAATGCCACCATATTGGCCTCATAACTTTGCTTTTCTATCATTCATAAAAAGAACAACAGAATTTATTAAGACAAAATGAACAAATGCAAAATAGTCCACAGCCATGTTTAAAACCTCAAACCAGGATTGCAAAAAGCTCTAGATAAACTGATAGAGTAATCATCTTTAATTGTATGAATTAGTACATCAAGGATCTAGATATTATACACAAATGCTCTCTTCCATTTTAAACACTTTATGCCATTTTTTGCTACGTAACTGAAGCACTTGTAAGGAAAAAACCTTTTACCATTTGCAACTTCTCAGTGCATTAAGTATATGCATAGTGTAATATTTCCCTGGCGTCATACAAACTTCCTCATAGAGCTTTTTTGTGCATTAGTCACTCAGGCCACCACCTAGGTCTCTGGGATATCAAATTGCGGCCAGGATTTCACATCCAGCTCCCTCGATTTTCCAGAGCATTTTCTCCACTAATGTTATTGGAATTAACTTCTATTTCATACAGATGCTCTCTGCAACAGCAATTATTTCTTTTTTCTTCCACAAATGAAACCTTGTTAAAGACTGTAATTATTCACACTGTTATTTTAACATTACTCCTTGTGTTTGTAGACCTCTAATGGATATTATTTTCATAATATGTTCTCAATTCCTCAATCTTCATAAAATGAAGCAATACATGGCTAAGAAAACATTTTTTTAATCAAGTATGAAGTCTGGGGAAAATAAGTGTTACCGCTGCCAAGTGCTATGAATGCCCATATTAAGGAAAACTATTCTAAAAATCAATAGACAAACATCAATTATTAGAATAAACATGGAGTTCACTAATGTTGTCGAATACAAATATCAAAATGAAGGAGTAGACTGCATTGCCTTAGAATAAGTAATAATCAATTAAAATTAATTATAAATGTTAACAGCTTTAAAAGTAGCAGCCAAAAATATAAGGTCCATACAAATAAGACTATGATGTACAAGTCCTTTCTAGAAACAATTATGGAACTCCATTGAAATTTTAGATAGGGAGACCAAATGTGGTAAAAATCTCAGCTTTTCTCTTAGTGATCTGTATGTGCGTGGAAATTTCAATCATTATTCCTTTGGGTGTTTTATGAACTTCAACAATCTGTTTCACAAATTTATACAAAAGTAGAGTCAAGTACACCCAAACCCTTTTACAGAGAATAAAGGTAGAAAAGTTTCCCTACCAGTTAGCAAGATATGAGTAAAATGCTAAAATACGATTGCTTCTCAAGGAATTTAACAGAATAAAGAGCTCAAAAATAAATATAACACAAGGCCAATCAGTGAAAAAAGACTATTGAATAAATGAAGATATTACTACAAAGGAAATAATTGGATCTCCATATGCTCGTAACCACAAAATCAAATCCTTTGTGATATGAAAGAAAAGTGCATGGTTTATTTGTCTAACTATTTATTTATGTTTATATCAGAGACTGAGTAGAGAAACAGGGAGACATTAAAGTGGTGGTGGAAGAGAGACAGAAACTTCCGTCTGCTGTCTACTGCCAAAATGACTGCAGCTGCTGGGACTGGGCAAGGTTAAAGCCAGGATCCCAGAGCTGCTTCTGGGTCTCTCACCTGGGTATGTGGTTCCAACGGGTTGGGCCATTTTCCAATGCTTTCCCTGCACATTAGCAGGAAGTCTGATTGTAAGTGCAGTATCCACGCTCGTGAAGAAGCACCATATGGGATGCAGGCATCACAAGCAATGGCTTAATGCACTACACTATGTCAACCCCTATATTTTAACATTTTTAAGATCTTCACTTATTTGCGACTCAGAAAGACATAGCAAGAGATGGACAGAGACAGCCACACAGAAACCTCCCAGCTGCTGGTTCATTCCTAAATGCCACAGCAACCAGGGCTGACCAGGCTGAGGACAGGAACCCAACCTGAATCACCTACGTAGGTGGCAGGGATTCAAGCCATTGTCTCCTGGCTACCAGGGTGGGTGCACATCAGTAGGAAGCTGGAATCAGAACCAAAGCCAGGACTCGAACTCCAGCACTCTGATGCAAGACACAGGCATCCCAAGCACACCTTAACTGCCACAAACTTCTGTTTCAGTAGGGGGTGGGTGTTGCAGCACATCCCACATTAGAATACTTAGTTCAAGTTTCAGCCTCTGTCCTATGCAGCTCTTCCTATCTAGCTTTGAGCTAATGCACCGGGGAGGCAGCAAATATTGGCCTAGATACGTGGGCTCCTGCCACTCGTGCGGGAAACCTGGAAGCCAGATCTTGGCTTGGAGAGTGAACCAGCAAATCGAAAGTCAATTTTCTCTTTCTCTCTCTCTCCCCCACACTAATCTTTCATTCCATTCTATTTGTCCCACCCCCCCCACACACACACACACACACATTTTTCCCTCTCTTTCCTCTCTCCCTATGATTTGGCCTTTCAGATAAATAAATCTCTAAAGATATAAGACAATATTTTTATGATGTTGGGATACAGATGGATTGCTTAAGGCATAAAAAGCTCAATACACAAAGAAAAAATAAGGATTTGCAGCAAAAGATACTACAATAGAATGATAAGTTACAAACTAGGAAAACATATCCACAGCACACATTTAGCAAAGAGTTTAAACACAAAATTCTTTGGGAAAAACATCTGTTACAGAGATTGGCATTGTGGCACAGTGGGTTAAGCCGTGCTGCAACACCATCATCCATCCATATGGGCACTGGTTCCAGGCCCCAGTGCTCCACTTCCAACCAAACTCCCTGCTGGTGCGCTTAGGGAAGCAGCAGAAGACGCCCCGAGGGCTTAGACTCCTGCCACATATGTGGGAGACCCGATGGTGTCCACGGCCTCCAGCTTCCACCTCGCCTCCCAATCACTGCTGTGGCTATTTGGAGAGTGAACCAGCAAGTGGAAGATCTCTTCCTTTTCACATCTCCCTATAATTCTGTCTTTTAAATTAATCAAGAGATCAATGAATCAAAAAAAAAAAAAAAGGAAAACACATCATCTTTCAATTACTAAGAAAAAAATCAATAGGAAATTGGAGCAAAGACAGCCACGTCACAGAAATCTGCTATATTGGAATGCATACAAGAATGATATAAACAACAAAGGCAAAGAATAAATCATACAGAAGTTCATAAAATTAATACTGGAGGAAAAAATGGCTGAAACTGAAAAATGGCACACAGGGCGCACTGAAATGTGTGCTCATCCCGTTAGAGGTGATGCATACACAGATAGCTTGCTTTGGTTATTTTAATACAGTGATAGTCTCCTTAAAGCCAGATTTACTTCCATGTAAGAATCTTTAATATATTTGGATTTGATTTGTGTGTCTGGCTTGTATTAATATTTACAACTAAGTTACTAATATTTACAAGTTGTTTATTTTCAATGAATGGAACATGTTTTCTTCCACAGCTAGTTTTGTTTCTTTTTAGCCTTTTAATTTTACTTGCTAATAATCGATATAATTGTTTTAAAAAGACTATCTCAATCATTTTAGAAAAATAAAATATCAAATCTATTAACATTATATTAAAGCATAATTAATCAAATGCCTATAGGAAAAAGAGACAATAAGCGAATGGTACAAAATGAATGGGACAAACTATAAAACAGACGTGCAACCACCCTCCTCAACCAATTACCTCATTAGTTTCATGCAAATGAAGGTATAAATTCTGGAAGTTTTGGGGGAACTTGAAAATTCTTTCAGAAATGTACACAAGGGCCCAGCAGCGTGGCCTAGTGGCTAAAGTCCTCGTCTTGAACGCACCAGAATCCCATATGGGCGCCGGTTCTAATCCCAGCAGCTCCACTTCCCATCCAGCTCCCTGCAGTCGAAGATGCCCCAAAGCCTTGGGACCCCGCACCCGTGTGAGAGACCCAGAAGAGGTTCCTGGATCCTGGCTTCAGATCGGCATAGCACCGGCCATTGCGCTCACTTGGGGAGTGAATCATCGGATGGAAGATCTTCCTCTCTGTCTCTCCTCCTCTCTGTATATCTGACTTTGCAATAAATAAATAAATCTTTAAAAAATGTGCACAGAAATTTGGAAAAATAAATGCAAAAACAGGGAGCCCTGATTATAAAATATAGATAGCCCTCTGTATCTGTAGGTTCTACAACTATGGATTCAGTCAACCACAGAGCAAAAGTATTCAGAAAACAATGGATATGTATTGGCTTTTTTCCATTAAACCGGTGTAACTGTTTTGAGAGTAACCTCTCAGGTGAACCCAGAATTGTAGGTCTATTACTTGGCTCACACACAGAACACTTGGAATAGGCAATCAGTCTCACCACAAGAATGCTATACAAACCACTTCACATTAGGGGCACAATTTCAGAGTTGCGCCTGCAGAGCTGTCCAGTGTCCTGACCGCCAAAGTTCCTCCTCACTGCCAGTTTCTCACCCATCTGCCCACGTGTTCAGACTGCCCTCTGTGCTTCATTTTCACCAGACTAATAGTCTACTTAGCAAATACTGCTTAAGATGCTGATAGAAGTACCAAACAATAAACATTTTAAGCCATGTATTTAAAAGTGTTTTTAGTGTTTAAAAGAAGAGAGCTAAATCAAAGATAAAAATACCACAACGCCTCAACTGGATAATTCTCAGTCTATAAGCACCGGCATTCCAAATGGGGGTTCATTCATGTTCCAGTTGCTCCACTTTCCACCCAGTTGCCTGCTGTGGCCTGGAAAAGCAGCAAAAGAGAGCCCAAAGCCTTGGGACCCCACACCCATGTGGGAGACCAAGAGGAGGTTCCTGGCTCTTGGCTTTAGATCAGCCCAGTTCCAGCTGTTGCAGCCATTTGGGGAGTGAATCAGCAGATGGAAGATCTTTCTGTCTCTTTCTCTAAGTAGTTCTGTTTTTCCAATAAAATAAATAAATCATTTTAAAAAGTGGACACTAACAATGTGAGACAAATAGGAAGAAAAACAAGAACATTCAATATCAGAACATGAGTTCCATGCAGGAAGGGGTTGTTCTCTGTTTTTTTTCACTGCTAAATCCCTTGTGCTATGATTGGATCCTGACATACAGTAAGTGATTTACTAAGTATTTGATGGATGAATGAAAGAACAGACTCAGACATACTACTTTGTGGCCTTTGAGATGCTAAATTTGATCTTTGTTAAAATTGTCTCACAACTCTCTTTGCTGTTTGCTTGAGCTCCACTAACCGTACAAACAGAAATATGGTAGCTTCTATTATTGAACTAAATGAAATCTTCCTATCTCAAATTTATCCCACTCTGTTAATTTATCATTTGATTCTATATGTTGCTTTCAGTATTCTGTATACATTGTACTAGTTCCCATCATCAGATGCAAATTCCTTTCAGAGGACCTGTGAAGGTTTTCATCTGACTTTGTTTCTGCCTGGACTTAGTAGTTATTCTACAACAATATATAACATCCTAATTAATGGTACGTTTAAGCATCGTACATCTCAAAATATTGACCCTACTTACCTGTGAATATGGAATGAGTGTATCAAAATGTCGATGAAGTTGCAATAGCTGAATTAACTCAGCATTTTTTTGAGCCTTTTCTTTAACAATGTCAATATAAGTTTCTGGATTTTCTGCAAATGAATACGCAGCATTTCTGCAATTGAATGTGAAATATTTTTCTTTGTATTTCAAAATTCCAATAGATGGATTTCCTGAAAATTAAGATAAAGAGCTGTATTGGAAATTAAATATTAGGTGAATCTGTATTCATAATACACATTCATAAATTTATTCCCTGTATTCATTCTAATTTCAGTATATTACTTATGTTTTCATTTTGCTGAAATATAATTAGCAATGTTAAATTACACAACTTAAAGTTTCCATGAATTGCATTTTATGTAAAAATATAGTCTTACAATGCATTTAATATAAAAATATTCATTATCCACATGAAAGGTACTTAATTTTTAATAGTTTCTTTTTTTAAAAGATTTATTTATTTTATTACAAAGTCAGATATACAGGAGAAGAGACAGAGAGGAAGATCTTCCATCTGATGATTCACTCCCCAAGTGAGTGCAACGGCCAGTGCTATGCCGATCTGAAGCCGGGAACCAGGAACCTCTTCTGGGTCTCCCACACGGGTGCGGGGTCCCAAGGCTTTGGGCTGTCCTCGACTGCTTTCCCAGGCCACAAGCAGGGAGCTGGATGGGAAGTGGAGCTGCTGGGATTAGAACCAGCGCCCATATGGAATCCTGGTGCGTTCAAGACGAGGACTTTAGCCACTAGGCCATGCCGCCGGGCCCAGGTACTTAATTTTTAAATGAAAATCATCTTAAACATTTGACAAACTTCTAAATTTATTAAAAGTAAACAAGTTGCCAAAGGATTGTTTTCAAAAACAATTCTGCCGAGACTACAAAAATGATTTCCAAAATGCAAAGTTGTATGTCATAAAACATTTCCCAGTATAAATCACAGACTATAGATTATTCTATATCCATATAATCCGTGAAAAGTATACTGGAAACACTAATACCATTTTATTCATTTATTCTTTCATTTATTTAACAGATATTTCTTGGCTTTTTTCATGATACTAAGGATACAGAAGAAACCAAAGTTCCTATTCTCAAAAAAAAAAAAAAAAAAAAAACAACAAGCACAGCCAGAGAGTGGTCAGTGCTGAAAGATGGGGAAAAAAGGCAATTTAACCCATGTTTCTCTGTGTTTGTCCCTCATGAAACTGTTCCCTCCTTATCTGCCTGAAGATAAAAGGAGAGCAGAAGGAAGCGAAGGAGAGGGAGCGGGGGAGGGAGAAACACCCGCAGACCACTCATTTTTTCACTTCAGCCTGGCACATCCAGTATCAGGGTGCCTGGACACACGATTCCAATAATGTTTACAGGGGGACAAAGAGTAATCTCCAACAGTGAAACATAATAATATACAAAAAATAAGAGAGATGGAAAAGAAGACAGTTAGTAGTATAAGGTAATAAACAATCCTGTAAGACTGTTTTAATTCTAAGCCCTAGTAGGCTTCTTGCTATTCTCGATTCACAAATAACTTTCTGGATAATTTATCTCATTGCAATGTCTGACTTACTGTTTTAGAGAAGCTCTAAAATATACACATCACATAGAAAATCTACCTGATAAAATATCGGCCATTGTATAAGTTATCTAACTCACAGAAAATCCTTATCCATGGAATCCAAATGAAATGTAACAAACTGACAAATAACATATTTAAATAAACATATCCAACTAATAAGTTCTGTGCTCTCAGTTGGAAAGATTATACATTTTTAGTAATGTTGCATTAACTTTTCTGAAATCTTTCCCAGGACATCTGAGTCACTCCATTTCAGTGGTATACTTGCATCCATATTTCATTAGACAGGTTGAACACTGCAAACGCAAAATTTAAAAATGATCCAATATCTGAAACTTTTTTGAACCCACGCATATATAGAAAATTCCATGCCTGGCCTCAAGTGACGAGTCACAGTTAACACACAGATAGAAAAAAATATATTGCATAAAATCACCTTCAGACTATATTATAAAGTATATATAAAACACAAATGAGTTTTACTTTTAGTTAATTTACACTTGGTTATCATTGTATGCAAGTATTCCAAAATTTTAAAAACTCAAGTTCAAAACCACTTTTGTTCCTAAGGATTTTGAATTGCAACCTACAGACACTCCATTACTTATGACTTAAAATGTCTTATTTATGTCAACCGGCCAGGTGAGACTGTAAGCACGTCCAAAACACACCTTAACTCCTTCCCTATTTCATTATCTGATTTCATAAAGGTAAGTGAATGAACTGCATCCATACAAAGAGAAAGCTGGGGAAAGGAGAGTGATGTTACAAGGATATACCTGGAAGAAGAAGACCGTCTGTTGTAGCAAATGTGTAGCCACAAAATCCCTGATACTGAATTAATAATTTATCAAAATTTGCTGTTGTTTCTGGGAAAAACCATTCCACATTTTGGAAATCCTCTGGATATACTCTTTCTTCTAAAATGAAAGAGAACAAGAAAAGATTTATGCAGTGGGATTACATTTTCTAAATATGCCAGTTTCATACTTCCCCTGATGACAAAAACCTGATATTTGCAGAACTAAATTCGCCCCAAAAAAGTACACCTGGCCTCAAGGAGCGTGCAATGACTTTCTGAAGCAGATAGAACCCCTGCTGCAGAATGAAGTCCGTGGGGGAGAGGACATTTTGGAAAAGCAAGCTTTGCTGCTATGACCAGCTGATGCTTCATGCTGCTGCAGAGTAAACAGCCCAAGAAAACAACAGGAAGAGACTGAATGCTCTGAAAGAGACGAAACAGCTTCACTCAAGAGGGTGGAACTTAAAGGAGAAATATAAATGAAAAAAACATATATTGAAAAAATTCAATGTCTCTAGCCATCAGGAAATGAAAATCACAACCCCAAGAGCAATTATCCAAAAGATAGAAAGAAACCAATACAAGAGAGATGGAGAAGGGGGAACCTTCACACTTGGTTTGGAAAGTAAATTACTGCAGCCACTGGGCAAATGGCTTAAATACTGCAAACAGGCTTGCCACAGTCTGGCAGTTCATGTATCTACTAGGCATATATCAGAGACATCTGCTCCACAGCACTGCTCACATTAGCTACAATACAAAATCAATCAAGGTGTCCATTATTAGGTAAACAGATAAAGAAAATAGGCACTGTGTGTGTATACAAATACACGTGTATAATGAAATATCACTCAGCTATTACAAAATGAAATTCTATCACTTACAGCAAAATAATTGGAACTGCAGGATATTTTGAGTGAACTAAGCCAGGCACCTAAAGGCAGATATTTCATGTTCTCCCTACTGTATGTAGGAGCTAAACCTTAAAAAAGAAAATCAAAGAAAAACACGTGTGTGCGTTTTGCAGCAAATATTGTTTTTTTTAAAATCAAACTTTGTTTTAAATCTTTGTCAAATAAATTGATAGGAATTATAGATTACCATAGTTTTAATGATTTTCTGACTGGCATTGAGGCAATAGCGGGTAAAGCTGTTGCCTGCGATGCCAGCATCCCATACAGGCACGGTTCATGCTTAGGTTGCTGCATTTCCAATATCCAGCTCTCTACTAAGGGCCTTGGAAAAGCAGGGGAAGATGGACCAAGTGTTTGCGTCCCTTCTACGATGTGGGAGACCCAGATAAAGCTCCTGGCTTCAGCCAGACTCAACAGTGGCCATTGTAACCATTTGGGAAGTGACCCAGTGGGAAGATATTTTCTCTCTCTCTCCTCTATTTCTCCCCTCCTTCATTCAAATAAATCTTATATTTTTCAGTTTGTATACATGAAGCAGGATATTTTTCATTTTATTATTATTTCTAGTCCTTGCCAGTTTTTCTGTTGAACTACGATCTTTTACTTTAAAAAAGTTGAGTTTTGGGGTAAACATATAGATTTGCACATGGTGGTTTATTTTGTTCCATTGGTTTGTCTGATTTTCAAAGCTTCTGATGAAAAGTCTGCTGTTATTTTTATTTTTGCTTAATGCGTCTTTATTTTCCTTCTCCCAGATCTTTTTTTAATCACCAATGTTATGATATCACTTGGCTTTCCTTTGTGTTTATTCCTCTTGCTTGCAATGCTGAACCCTGAGGTTCTTTGCTTTTATAACTCCACTTAGACTTTTGAGTCAAGTATTAAGCCTATACTGACCTCACTGGTACTCTGAGAAGTAAATGGATATTCAGAAAAAATAAGCTTTGTTTTTCCTGAAATGCCTACAGCCTCCAACAATGACAAGATGTAGCAAGTTTAAGAGCCTTTAAAAATTTTGTGCTCTCAAATTACTGGATCAGTAACTTGGAAAATAATGTTATAATGAATGAAAGTTGGGAAACACTTCTAAATCTAAGAGGTTTCAAATAAACTATCTTACTAATACTCATTACAGATGTTTAGCTTTTTAACCTCATTTCACATTTTATATGGTTTTGTGTACTGTTTTTTAAAGCTTTATTTATTTATATTTGAAAGGCAAATTTTATAGAGAGAAGGAGAAACAAAGATCTTCCATCCTCTGGCTCACTCCCCAAATGGCCACAATGGATGGAACTCAGTCAATCCAGAGACAGGTGCCAGAACCTTCTTCCAGATCTTCCATGTGGGAGCAGGATCCCAAGGATTTGGACAACCCTCCAGTGCTTTCCCAGGCAGCAAGCATGGAGCTAGATGGAAGGAAGAGCAACTGGAATGCAAACTGACATCCATATGGGATCCTGGCACTTGCAAAGGAGGATTAGTCAACTGAGCTATTGTGCTGGGCCCTTTATGTATTCTAATAGCCTAAGAAAGAAAAATCACTACTACATGTTCATTTTCATCTTCAAAAATATTTTTTAAAAAATAAACTGATAGACTAAATGATGCAATTTCATATGCTGCAAAAAAAAATTTTCTTCACATAAAGTAGAAGAAGTGTGGTGCAGTGCAGTAAGCTGCCATTTATGACAATAATAACTGTGAGACCATCATTTGTGACAGCATCCATATCAGAAAGTTAGTTCGGTCCTGGCTGCTCTGCTTCTGATTCATACTCCTGCTAAGGTATTTGGCAGAGCAGGATGGACCAAGTTATTAGGGCCCTGCCATCCATGTGGAAGACCTGGAAGGAGTTCTTGGATCCTGGCTTCAGGTTTGTCCAGCCCTGGCTAGTGTAGCAATTTCAGGAATGAACCAACAGATGGGAGAGTGCTATCTCTACTTCTCTGTCATTCTACCTTTAAATGAATAAACACTTTAAAGTTTTTAAATAAATAAGAAGAGATCAAAAAGTAAAATAGGTAAAATGTCCTGGTTTCAGCACTGTGGCATATCAAGTAAAGTTCCTGCCTGTAACACCAGCATTCTATATGGGCACAGACTGGAGTCCTGGCTGTTCTACTTCCAAGAAAACTACATGCTGATGCACTTTCAAAAGCAGCAAAGTATGGCCCAAGTCCTTGGGCCCTGCCTTCACATGGAGAGACCCCAAAGAATCTCCTGGCTCCTGGCATTGAACCGGCACAGCTCTGGCCTTTGTGGCTATCATAGGAGTGAACCACAAGATGGTTCTTTCATTCTCTGTCCCTCTCTAATTCTACCTTTTTAAAGAAAAGCAAAGCAAACAAAAAATCAGGGAAGCAAAGACAGCTTTTCTATTAGAATTGAGCCTAAAGTAAGCTCAGTTAATTTTACAGGAATAAAATGAACTGGTTAAAAAAAGCCTCAACTTGAATCTGAAAATAACATTTCAATGAAATGAAGCTTTATTTGTAACCAACGTAGCAAGTATTAATTTCCTTTGCTTCTACAAATCAGTAATAAAATCACTAAAATGGCAACAGAAATGCACAAAGTCATTGCTCATCAAAACACTAATAATGACACTGGTGGATGATAAGATGTTAGTTTATGTATTTTCAGTTCCCATAGTCTGTAATGGATATAAGCCATTTATAATCAAGAAAGGTGTTTAATGTTTTATCAGATGATATGACGTGAAAATTCAACAAAAAAGGTAACTTTTAAAAGAAGAGTAAACAACGGATAATTACCCAAATGTTCTTTAATCCTGCATATATCAGTTTTCACAGTTACTTCATCCAGAAAGTCTTGCAGTATTTTCTTAGGAAAGAGTTCATGAGTACCAAGAAATTGTTCCAGATGAGTGATTAAGTTACTGAGGACACTAATCAAAACCGTCTCATCCTGAAAGCTATTCCACAGACTGGCAAGGGCCACAAAGATAGGCTGCGGAAGGTAAAAAACAGGCAAAACGTCACTGTGTAATGGAAGTGTAACTCAAAGTGCTCTTTGAAATACATACAATTATCATTTGTAAAGAAATTCTTCCTTAACTCAAATGAAAGTCTTAGGAAATAACAGACTCAAGATACAAATTCAACTCATATGCTTTGAAACAATGAACTTACATTCACTTTCTTTTTAGTATAGTTGTTACAAATTTAGTTTATTCAAAAACACGCCAACACATCTGATGATCTACAAAAGATTTATGGGGCTAGCATTGTGATGTAATGAGTTAAATCCTGGCTTGCAATGCCAGTATCCCATATGAGCATCAGAATTCAAGATTTTACATCAATGAGATACAAACTCTTTAATTCACATCAAAGATCACTGTACAATAAAAAAAAAAACAGTATCCTAAGTTAATCAACTTAGCCTTTTGTTTCTTAGGTTTTTAAATGAAATAGTGAGAAAGATGAAAGTTGAGTCTCTCATGTTCTTCAAAGGCTGCAGGTAAATTTTATACCTCCTGATGCAAAGAATGAGATGTCCATAAAATAGTACTGACACTCAGAAGGTCAGTACAGGTGTAAGCTTAGTCAACAAACTGATTGCTACTTATCTTTACAGAAAGATCGCATGCTACATCATTTCTGTGCTGCAGGAATTTCCAACCAGTTCCTACAAATGCACTTTCCAAACTCTGCGGTGGATTATTCCTGATGCCACAGTCAATATTTGTAATCTGGTTTTCATACTATATATACATATTTGCTTTAATAACAATTCCTTATAAAGGGGAATCCTCTCATTCAGCTTACAGTGTACTGTGACTACAATATAACCCAAAAAAGGGAGTGTACATATAAAATCTATTTAAATGCTTAGTAATTCAATATAATTATAATATAATCCAAATTCTACAGGATTCCAAAGGAAATTCACCCCTAACAAGCTCAAAGAGGATGAGAAATACTTACAAAGACTTGTGATGTTGGGACAGCAACCTTTGATTTTACAGTCATTTTCAACTGTTCCAGCTGGGCTCCCAACTGCTTTATCATTATTTCCACTTCTTGAGCAGAAGTTATTATATCTGACTATGAGGATAACATGATTTGCATTAATATTCCTTTACCATTTAACCATAAAAATTACATTGTTTTCAGGCTTGCTTCTCACTTCCCTCGTGCAAGAAGGGGGGTAGCTCAGTGACATCAGGGGTTATTTGCTATGCTCTCTCAACAGCTAACAGTACTGGCCTGGGCAAGACACAGGAGAAATGGGTGAGTGTCCTGAGATACAATAGATGCATATTTTCTCAAATGTATACAGGTATGCTTAGAAGTTAAATCTTATTTCATTCCTGAGAAGTAGGAATCCATTGTGAACTTCAGTATGGCAGCTCTTTTCCCATGTTTCAATGAAAAACGTAAGGATATGTTCCTCTAAGAACTATATTGATTCCAAGATTTCATGCTATTACACTCAAGGAAGCAGAAAATATCAAAGACGAAAGCAACAGCCTATTTCTGGTACAACAACAGCAGCCTATAAGTGCCTATATGCTAAATGTTAAATTATTACAAGAATTTCTTACTAGGTGCTCAGCATTACAATAAATAGTTGCAATTATAATGAGAATAAGCTCAAACAAGAAAGCCAAAAATGAAAAGGAAAGTAAATCGCACAAATATGCACAGCTAATAAGGGGTACAATTACAGTTCTCCAAGCTGTTTGCTCAGAGCCCAGCTCGCAACCATCATCTTGTATTGCCTGAAGAACGACCAACAAGTAGCTGTACAGTGTAAAAGGATAATGCTCATTTAAAAAGACAAAAGTACATTTGAGTTCTCAGCCATGTGACAGTTTAAGGTGCTTTACTAGGCTATTTTTAAATAGCCAAAATAACTATTTCATAAGAAACATCAAATACGATCATTATATTTCAACATCAACATGCAGCCTGCTTTAATTTTACTCAACTTTGGCAAGAAACCATTTTGTAAAATCAAAATGAGTACTTAAAAAAATTATTACTATCTGTTCAAATGATGTGACTTAAAAAAAGATTTTTTTAAATTTGAAAGGCAAATTTATAGAGAGAAGGAGAGATGGAACGAGGGGGCTTCTATCCACTGGTTTACTCCCTAGAATGGCCACAATGGCCAGAGCTGAACAATCTGAATCCAGGAGCCAGAAGCTGTCTCTGACTCTCCCACATAGGTACATGGGCCCAAGGACTCAAGTCATCCTCCACTGCTTTCCCAGGTCACAAGCAAGGAACCAGATCAGAAGTGGAGCAAGTGGGACTAAAACCAGTGCCAATATGGGATGGTGGCACTGCAAGGTGAAGAACCAACTGTACCGCCCCCATGATGTGACTTTTTAAAAGAGCATACATAAACTTCAACATAAGATTATAACCTACAAATAAAGTGGATTAATTCAATATCCGATATGTAATAACCTTAACTCTTACTAAGATTAATGAGGATAGTTTCTAAAAATGCAACAACAAAAGACTCACTGAAGAGAAAAACATTAAAAAAATGAATCCTTCCTTGACCACAAAACAGTTATGAAGGGTAAGAATATTGACCTTATCATAAGCATGAGAAGCTAGGAGCTTGAAAACGAGTTATCATCTGGAGAATAAAATCTGTTCATCTTGTTTTCCTATCAAAGTGGAATTGGAGCTGTGCTGGCAAAGCTCCAGCAACAATGACAACGGAAATCATAAACATCGCTATCATCGGCAACTGGCTGAGCTCCCACTACCAGCCAGGCACTGGTCTCTCTTATTTATAATGATTCTTAATCATTTCATTTTATGGGTGTGGAAACCAAAGAACAGGGATGTAAGACAACTTCCTTAGAAACACATCAAATAAGGCCCAACACAGTAGCCTAGCAGCTAAAGCCCTCACCTTACATGCCCTGGGATCCCATGTGGGTGCCAGCTTGTATCCTGGCTGCTCCACTTCCCACCCAGCTCCCTGTTTGTTCCCTGGGAAAGCAGTAGAGGATGGTACCAAAGCCTTGGGACCCTGCACCCATGTGGGAGACCCAGAAGAAGCTCCTGGCTCCTGGTTTCAGATTGGCACAGCATTGGTCATTGCAGCCACTTGGGGAGTGAACCAGCAGATGGAAGATCTTCCTCTCTGTCTCTCCTTCTCTCTATAAATCTGACTTTGCAATAAAAATAAATCTTTACAAGAAAGAAAAAAAAAATGGAAAACAGTGTCACTACACACCACGCTAAAAAAGAAAGAAATGCATCAAGTAAGGAGCAAAGTCTGGAGGAGAGCGCCCATTTTATACTTCAGCACTCCACTCCCTGTCCTGGCTAGCAAAGGCAGAATAGAGAATCTGTAACTTTTATTTGGTTCAACATGATTCATGCTTGAAAGCCATGAGAAGATACTATAAAGTAAATGGCATTCCTTGCTAGCATTCTAACAGAATATGCAACAGCTTCTCAGGGTTGTTTTGTTTTTATTTCAGTGAACTGCTCTTTATAACTGAGAAGATGCAAATAGTCAAAATGCCCAGTAAATAAATTACGATTTAATCATACAATAGAATTATGAACCAACAGAAATGATGCTGAAGATTATGCGTGTGACCAGCAAAGACATTCACAATATACTGTTAAGTGGAAAAAGCAGATTACAAAGCGGTATGCACAATGAGCCCATTTTATAAAAATATACATATTTTGCAAAGTAAAAAGACAAATGATATTTATCAAAATGTCAACATTGGTTTTTTCAACACAGTAGGATGATAACTGATTCTACTTAACTACCCATTTTTTATTCCTATCTGAATTTACTATAATGCAGATTAATTTAAAACAAGGGCCTAGGGGAAGGGAATTACTACCCAGAGCATCCAAATTGTGCCCTGAAAGCTCCTGGCAGTCGGGAGAGACCGATTCTGCCTTGTTAATTGAGTGTCCTTCAACGGCCTCGTTCACTCAAACCTCCTTTTGGCAAAGTATGCAATAGCAACTTGTGATATTAAAAATGAAAAAAAAAAACCAACAAAAGAGTAAGATGAGAAAATATAAATCCTTATCTTAAAAAAGAAACAACCCAAGCACATACCACTAGATCATACACAGTCACACTCTCTTAGTTTATTGCCAAGAGCAGGACAGCACACGAGGCCGAGGCTTCTCTTTCACACTGTCCCTAGCACTCACTCTGTTTTCATTCTCATTCATTCACCGTGCAAAAGGTCTGTACACATGATGTCCAATGTTTCCTGGTTCCCATATCACAACAGGAAACGACATCTCAATTAAAAACAAAAAGGTAAAATCATACACCAAATGAAAGGGTTGGGTTCTAGAACTATGTCAAACTTAAGTGAATTCTAATACTTGCTACAAAATAAGTCAAAATCTAGTCTTAACAAAAGCTCTAATAAGTAAAACTATGTTAACAGGCATAATGAACAGTGTAAAAACTATTGCTGGGCACCGAGTTTAATAGAGCAGACAATAACTTCAGAATTCACAAATTATTCAGTTACATTTTTTAAATGGTGCTGCTTTGAATGTTTTACCCCCCAAAAAACTAACCTTAATAGATATGGCAAATGCTAAAAACCTAGCTAGGCTACCATGCGAGATAATATCTATAGCCAAGACAAACTCAAATTTATAATGAAGGCAACTTGCATTCAAAATGAACTCTACCCTTATATTTTATTAAAAGGGCAAACATCATGACCCAACCCAGCTGCTTACGTGAATTACAAAAGTAACATGATTCAATATGAAAATAAGAAACTGTCTACAAATCTCTGACAGTAACGCAATAAACAACGCATACAGGAGTCATACAGCGCAACAAACTCATAAAAACAAAAATATTTTAATACCTTTAAAATCCAAATTTTCCTTTAAAATCATTCATGAAAAAGATCCTCAAGTTAGAATTAACGCCTCAATTAGTCAAGCATCAGGAAGCTACATTACAGCTTTTTAACGTACAAGGAGACATCTTTTTCCACCAGTCACTGTCTTCCAATATCTCAGCTCCAGAATCAGACTCTTGCTTCGCTTCGCTCCCAGCCCATCACTTCCTAAAATCATGAAAACTGAATTTGCTGAATGCCAGAAATCTGTTGATAGATGTTGTACACACCATGACATTTTGTTGTTGATCATCTGCAGTTATTAAGCCTGCTGGTAACTGGTTAGTGAATGCCTCTTCTCTGAGCTCCTCACTCAGTCCGTCTGTGGCTGTGACTGCTCAACCAATTCCTTTCTCTCCTCTCATAGCCTGAATTTCTGCAGGTACAGCTTCAGAGGCTCCACATAACTGTCAAAGCCCAGGGTGGACATGGCAAAGAAAATGTCTTCCCCATTGATTGTCTTCCATTTCTCCTGATGGCACCTCTCACTTGCTTCAGATATTATAAGGCTAATTAACTCACACACTCTTGAACACATTCTTTGGCATCTTTTGCAACCTTTCCTATTTGAGGTATGGCATTCTTCATTATCCTAGCCACATTTGCAATTGGAAGATAGATATCTTGTTCTCGGAAACTTTCTTTTGAGCCATTTTTGTCTTCATGAACATTCATGCTGTCCTCAGGATCATCATGGGGCTGTATGAGTAGTGGCTCCCTCCAATGTAGTCTGCAGAAATGCCCAGCTGCGAAGCATCTGTGGTTGAATTGTCCCCATCCATTCTCATGAAATAGTGTTAGTGCCAGCTGCGGTGCCAGTGCTGCTCACCAATACCTTCCCCAAAAGGTGCCTAGTCTCTGCCCAGTGCCTACCCCCAGTGCAGCCCTGGTTGGCTCCCGTCTCCAATCGGCTGTCTGGTTATACAGAAAATGGCTGCGAAGGAACCAGTCCCAGCATGGAGTTCCCCTTCCAGGACTCTGCCTCCCTCCCTTTGTTTCTTGTTTTGCTTTTTTTTCCTGTAAAATCCTCTCTGAGGACAACAGGGGTACAGAGGTTCTGCTCCCATGGACTTGTGTGCACTTCAAGATCAACAGATTATATTCTTCTAGCACCTGATTAGCTACATAAGACTGATGGCCACAAATCAATGTTGCAGGGATTATTTTTGAATAGCTGACTTAGTCTTCTGAAGGCAGTTTCACAGTAGGCCCACTGCCTCAGGATCACTCCTACTTTGCAGAATGAAGATCATGTCATAAGTGTCTCTCTCTATTCTTAATGACTAGGTAAACAGAAAGGACAGGCCAGGTGCATCCAAAAGTAAGATCAAGTCTCCTTCAAAAAATCATTTTTCATTCAAGAAACAGACAATTCCACTGACCCTGATTCCCACCATTATTGACAACTAGAGGCTATCTACAGGTAAACAGTAATTAACAAACTGCTTTCCCTAGAACCCAAGGGTGGCATGGGGAATATTCCTTAGTAAAGGATCTCCAAATCCCTTCATTGAGATAGCTGTCCTATATAAAAATACAGGGTTTCTATCTGAAAGAAAACACATTGCTGCTATATAAAATTTATAATCACCACTTTCTCATATTTCAAACTGCTTTGAGATACAGTTTGCTTACTCATTAGGTCCAAAATGATCAGATACAAAAATATGTTTATCAGTATTTACAAGGAAAACAAATAATTATGCAAAAACAGACTGCAACCACATATCAAAGACGCATTAAACGCTTGCTCCGAATTAAAACAGACACACCCTTACCCCTGTATGCATACATGCCTCTGCTTTACCATGGCATGCTAACAATCACATTGCCTAGTCCCAAAGATTAACAATCATAAAATCAATTCCTATCAATATATTTTTAATCAAAATTAAAATCTAACTTTTCTATTTCTGATTTCATTCCAGGCCCTAGCAATGCAGTATAAGTGTCATTACTGACCTGGTTCTGCCTGCTTTCACCTCGTAATGAATAACGAGACTATTATAATACAGAGAAAAGGCTGAAGATTATACAATTAACTCACCAAAATGATCTGAAGAAAGACCTCATACTGTCGCACATTGTATAGTGCTTCTTTCAGCTTATATGGCTGAAGGTCTATAGCCACAAGGGGATTATCTGTTGCCTTCTCAAGGATAGCTGTGTAGCGGTGTGCCCAGTTCTGGGCGATCTGAAGTTGTGAATCAATATGATGAGTGGTAGCTGGGATTGCTTCATGTAGAATAGCTGGCACTGTTTTTCAGGGTACAAGAAGTCAGGGATTACAGAGTTTAACAAGAATCAAGAGGGGAAATGCTACAACCAGTCATCTTTCAACATATGATTGAGTTCAGTTTTTTATCAAACTAGTAAGAATGAGGAGGCTGGCAGTACAGCATAGCAAGTAAAGCTGCTGCCTGCTTCCTGCTAATGTGGGAAAAGAGTGGAGGATGGCCCAAGGGATTTGCCCTCTCTACTTCAAAATACACAGTACCGGGCCCGGCGTGGTGGCGTAAGTGGTTAAGTCCTCGCCTTGCACGCCTGGGATCCCATATGGGTGCCAGTTCTAATCCCGGCAGCCCCACTTCCCATCCAGCTCCCTGCCTGTGGCCTGGGAAAGCAGTCGAGGACAGCCCAAAGCTTTGGGAACCTGCACCCGTGTGGGAGACCCGGAAGAGGCTCCTGGCTTCGGATCGGCATAGTATCGGCCGTTGTGGCTCACTTGGGGAGTGAATCATGGGACGGAAGATCTTCCTCTCTGTATCTCCTCTCTGTATATCCGCCTTTCCAATAAAAAATAATAAAAAATAAATCTTTAAAAAAAAAAATACACAGTACCTTCCGGGGAGACCTGGAAGAGCCTCCTGGGTCTTGGCTTCAGACAGCCCCCTTTCTGGCTGTTGTGGAGACTGGGAGATGAACCAGTGGATGCAAGACTGATTCCCTCTCTCCTTCTTTCTCTCTCTCTGCTGCCTCATCTTCCCCACCCCTGCACTGTCTCTTCGTAACTCTCCCTTTCAAATAAATAATAAATCAATCTTAGAAAAAGCAATAATGAGGCATGTGTCTCATGGTACTGCAACATGAATAATATGAAAAATGCTCAAGTAAAAGATACTGTCAGGATCATAAGCAGCAGTTACAGCAGATCAGCCATGCCGCTAAACTTGAGGAAAATATTTAAAAGCAGGTAGACTTTGCTCTCACTTAGGCAGCACATCCACTACAAATAGGTAGACTTGCTGATCACATGCTCTTTAAAAAGCCAACGATCCCTCTGCCTCTATGTTTTCTTCTTTTAAAAACAAAACAAAAACAGGCCTCAAAAATCAGGGTTGGGCTAGGCTGAAGCCGGAAACTCCATCCTGGCCTTCCATACGACTGCTAAGGGTCATCTGCTTCTGCTTTCTGATCAGAGGTAGAACAGGATGGGCTCCAACCTGGTACCCTACTATGATACCACTGCTGCCAGCAGCATTTAACCTGCCCTACCACGATGCAAGCCCCTATTTCATCCTTCCTACACATACAAATGAAAGGGACATCATAGGCAGCAGCTTTAAGCATCGCTCCAGAATGCCAGCCCCATGGGCAGTTCTTAGGAAAGTTAAAATTGCAAATCTTAAATCTCAAATGTCAGTACTGTGTTGCGTGTTATTGTTCTCACTTGGTACATTAAATTCTAATTAGAATTAAAATTTAAATTCATTAAAGCAAATTAGGATTAACCTAATGAAATCCTTACAATCATCAATGCCTTCTCCTCCTTTTCCACAATCTCTGTTAAATAATCGAATTCCAGTAACAATCATGGTGAGCTCTTTAAGCTGACGCTCTTTGTCCTTCTTAGAAAGAGTTAGAAAAGTTCCAAGTTCAGTCTGAGGAAAAACACTTTGTAAGGCAGCTAAAAGAAAACACAGAAAAGGGGGAAAATGATCTAACAAAAATTCCCAAACTTACATGACAAATTTCCTCCTCTCACCAGAAAATTAAGGGACTTGTGTCTCTATAGTCACTTATAAGGTTCTTTAAATGTCTGATACTTATAAATATGTAGTAAAATTTGTTATATGTCAAATCTGGAACATTGAAAATAATGCCATTGTCTTAGCATCTGCTTTTAATAACTAAGTATCCGTCAGTAACTTTTCACCCATGGGCATTTTAAAAGACTTTCCAAGTTTCTAAGTAGGAAATCAGTAGATTAAACTAATTATAGAAGCAAGTCAAAGGAGGGCTAGACATCTTGGTTATCCCCCCAAAAGAATAAAACCAGGCAAGTGTTCTCTGAGTATAAATTAGGAACCTCTTTCATGAACCAGTTTAGTTGACAGCCTCAATTCCTCTAATCAGCAGAAATATCCCTTTCTAGGTGTCCCATTTAACCAACCAGCCCATATTATGCTTGTTTCTAAAGGAGATTTAACAGCTATGTCAATAACATTTCACTTTCTTTAGGTGCCAGGTGGGTTTTGAACTAATATACAGTGTAAAAGGGATCTGGGTGAAATTCAAACTTTAATTTTTGATTTTTTTTAAGATCAAAAGAGAAAGAGAGCAGGCATCAATCTGTTGTTTCACTCCCCACATGCTTACAGGACTTGAGCCACATGGCCAGAGCCAGATGCTGGAAACTCAACCTATGTATTTCATACAGCAGCAGGAACCTGGTAATTTGGAGCTGTCTCCCAGGACATGCAATAACGCAAAGTTAGAATTACATGTGGCCAGAAATCAAATCCAGAATTCCAATGTGGGATAAGAGTGTCTTAAATGTTACCATAGAGGCTGGCATTATAGCTTAGTAGTTTAAGCTGATGTCTGTAATGCCAACAACCTATATGGGCACCAGTTCAAGTCCTGGCTGCTCCCACTTCCAATGCAGTTCCCTGTTACTGAGCCTTGATGAGAAGCAGAGGATGGCACGTTTGGACCCCTGCCAGCCTCATGGAGAACTGGATGGAGTTGCAGTTGTCTGACTTTGGCTTGGCACAGCCCTTGCCTTTGGGGCCATTGTGAGAAAAAATCAACATGTAAAAGTTTTTTTTTTTTTTTTTCCGCTTTCTCTCCCCTCCTTTTCTCTCCATAACCTTGCCTTTAAAATAAATAAGCCAATCTTTTAAAAAATGCTAAACAGCGCTGGTGTGGTGGCCCAGAAACCTACTCTTTCGGTTCAAGTCCTGGCTGCTCCACTACCCATCTAGCTCCCTACCTGTGATCTGGGAAAGCAATGAAGGATGGTTCAAAACCTTGGAACTCTGCACTCACAAGGGAGATCAGAAGAAGCTCTTGGCTCCCAGCTCAGGATCAGCTCAGCTCTGGCTATTATAGTCACTGCGGAGTCAGCCAGTGGAAAGAAGATATTCTTGCTTTTAAAATTCTAAAAATCTATCTTTCAAATAAAAGTAAAACTTAAAAAAGAAAAAAAAATCCACCCGGCACTATAGCGTAGTGGTTGAAGTCCTCGCCTTGAATGCACCAGGATCCCATATGGGCACCAGTTCTAATTTCAACAGCCCTGCTTCCCATCCAGCTCCCTGCTTGTGGCCTGGGAAAGCAGTCAAGGATGGCCCAAAGCCTTGGGACACTGAACCTTTGTGGGAGACCTGGAGGAAGCTCCTGGCTCCTGGTTTCAGATTGGCACAGCATTGGTCATTGCAGCCACTTGGGGAGTGAAACATCGGACGGAAGACCTTCCTCTCTGTCTCTTCTCCTCTCTGTATATCTGACTTTCCAATAAATCTTTAAAAAAAAAAAAGAAAGAAAAAAGCTAAACACCTGCTCCAAACTTCCATCTTTAACACTTCTAAGCTAACAGATTTTATAAAGTCAATTACTCATATATTTTAACATATGAAATAGCAGTGTTTAAACATTTGGAGAGGTATTGTATTAGGATCTGAATATTTGATAGTTTCCAAAATTCGTAAATGAAAGCAGAATTCAGTTACATGTTCCCTCCCATAATAAGGCAAGTTTGAAAATGTAAGTTGTATATCCAAGAGAACAGAATGGAATGGGAAGAACATAGTCTCTGCCATACAGGTTTATTTGCATGTGTGAATTCTCTTACACCTACAGAGAAATATTTATAAGTTTTACCTGTTACCTCTCTGACAATCTTGATGTCTGTGGGGGATCCGAGCCCAGAGCGTAGTAACACGTAACTGACAATCTTCCGGTAGAGGCTTTCCAATTCTTCCCTAACACATGCTCTGTTGTCTGTAATTTCTCTGCAAACAGAGCTTAATCTAGACTCGAGGACTCGGTGATGTTCTTGCAGAAATTCCTCTAAAATAAAAAGTGACAACATTTTACATATTTGATCTTTAGAATTTTTCTCACATAACAAGCAGAGAACTGGCTTGGGTATGACAATTCTGCCATATGAGAACAAGCACTTTCTTCTTAATGAAATAAAAATAATGAGAAGCAAGTAACCTCAAGATAAAATTCAATGGGAAAGATTAATTTCTGTGATCAAGTAGAGTGAGACTTCAACATACATAAGATTCCAGAGAATCCAAACAGTAAATGTGGGACCGGCATGGCAGCCTAGTGGCTAAAGTCCTCGCCTTGCATGCGCCAGGATCCCACACGGGTGCCTGTTCATGTCATGGTGGCTCTGCTTCCCATCCAGCTCCCTGGGAAAGCAGTCAAGGATGGCCCAAAACCTTGGGACCCTGCATCTGCATGGGAGACCCAGAAGAGGCTCTGGGCTCCTGGCTTTGGATGGGCTCAGCTTTGGCTGTTGTGGACACCTGGGGAGTGAACCACTGGACAAAAAGATCTTCCTCTCTGTTTCTTTTCCTCTCTGTAAATCTGCCTTTCCAATAAAAATAAAATAAATGTTTTTTAAAAACCAGTAAATATTAGAAAGGCTAAAGGCCTTCCCATTAAAGGAGAGATGCAGATTATCTCTATAATTCACATACACAAACACAAACTCTTCAAAAATTTCATGGCATGCATGGATTTCAAACATTTTTGTACCAAAATAAACTGCTTTAGATCCTATTTCTGCAATTCTAGCTAAATTTCCTCAGAGTAACATTGGTAATACATTATGTTAAGAACTGTACCTCTCCTCCCCCCTCAGCACTATACCAAGGTAAAGGCTTATCAGCGTCAGAAGATCATCTTTACCAGGAGTTCCATTCTAGCAAGGTAATGAATAAGATCTCCTCTATCACTCCTACAAAACAATATTTGATATTTTAATCATGCATAGTTTATACCCATATGTATGTGCCACATACATGCAGGTAGCATAGGTGCAACTAAAACATTGTGTAGATTAAAAAATGTAACTCGGGCAAACAATGGCTATTATTGCTTTAAGACCTCATTATTATTCAGCAAAAAGGCAAAATGTATGACTTTTTCATATTGAGCTTACCTGACAGTCTAATACATAGAGAAAAGACAAAGAGCATCACCAAATGGTTAATAATGGCTGAATTTACAGCAGGGGCAGAGCAATTTATTTCCCTTCCTCTCATTTCCAACTTGTCTTTGATGTAATATGCGTTAGGTTATGTAATGAAATACATTCAACACTTACATAGCCATCATTCATTTCACTTTTAGGTAGTTATGTCATTTAGGTAAGTACAAGGTATAAATCAAGAGCAAAAAAATCTAAAACTTACAGACCTGCTACTTCAGCGGACTAATTGCTTTCATTTTATTATGGGTATGTATTAGTTCTATAAAGAGTAAAACAGAACAAACTTTGAAAAATAATTCTTATGAGAATAATAATTTGAGTTAACTTTTGAGATTCATAAACATGACATAGCATGTCCAATGTTATTTACACAATTCAGTTTCGAAAATTTATTTTATGGAAAGGCTGCAGAAATTTCAAAAGTTTTTGAATCAGAATAAATATTTTTAATTCTATTTTCATGAAATTTTGTTCTTCAGAGTAGAAAACATTTCAAGAGCTTAACAAAAATATTATACTGTTAACTTCAATGGTTGTCAACCAAATGAAGCCTTTCTTAGTTGAAACACATTATGAAATTTTTAAGTATAAAATCAGGTAAACACAGATTACCTCGACTTGTATAGTTTATATCAAAGTAGACTTGCATCTTAATGGTGTCCAGGGATGGATTCTTAGTGTCCAATAGCCGAGCCATACAAAGCTAGCAAAGAACAGCCCATTAATGCTTATGGTTACATTTAGTAAAATACTTAAATCTTTTCCCCAAAGTCACGCTCAAAAATAAGAAAATCATCAGAGCAATGGCCCCTGATATTTATTCACCAATACTCTCTTTCAATAGTTTTTCTCCTTAAAGACATTAGGGTTGGTAGTTTACCCAACCAGTAAGAGTTGTTACCATTTAATTTCCCTGGAGCTAATTAGTACCTGAGTAGCTAACAGTTTATTTGAACACCTGATGTTTTGGTTCATCTGAGCACCTAAATGTGCATTAATGCTCCACCATGTTCACACTTCAGACTAGAATTCTCCTAGAGTTCATAACTATTGTTTGTTTTTGAGCCTGAACAGTACACATTGATAGTTTATGAACCTGTCATTCTTTTTTGCTGATATGGGAGGCCACATTGATGTTGCAAAAAATTGTTCCAGCTCCCCTTTTTTTCCTTACAAAACTTTGCTGGTTTTCCATTTTGCTTCAATATTTCTTTTTTGGATTGTTTCCTCCCATTTTACCCTACAAAGATGGCTTGTTCACTCTCCCTGCCTTATGTCTTCCAATCGGGGATGATGAATCTGAATCTTTTTTGCCCTACCTCCTCTCTACTTCCTCTAGTCTTCCTCCTCCCCTTTTGTCTCAGATACTGAAGCTGGCTGGGACACAGCACCAACCTCCTTCAGGACCAGCCCTCTTTTCCTGGGAGGAAGGACAGGGGATTCTAGACTAGGACTAGACACTGTACAAAGCCTACATGCCTGGATCCATCCAAGCCCAGAAGTGCTTTTCTAAAAGCAGACTTCACAAATAACAGAGTAGCTCTTACACATGACCAACATTTTTGCTACTTGTAAGCTAGAATAACAGAGAAAGAGAGGAAGAGAAAGAGAGAATCTTTCATCTTCTAGTTCATTCTTCAAATGGCCACAACAACCAGGGCTGGGCCAGGCCAAAGTCAAGAGCAAGGAATTTCATTTGAGTCTCCCACGTGAGTGGCAAGAACCCAAACCTAGAGTATTCACGTACTGCCTTCCCAATCATGTTAGCAGCCAGATCAGAGGTGGGACAGGCAGGATTTGAGCCTGCACTCTATCTGTATAACAGGAATCCCAAGTTTCATCTACTGTACCACAATGCCTGTCCTGGCATTTTTGAGAGAAAAAGGAAACAATTTTGTCATCTAAATCATCATATACAGTTATGTGTTACTTAATGGTGAGGCCATGTTCTCAGAGACCCATGGCTAGTGGATTTCATCACTGTGCAGATACAACAGAGTGTACTCACACTAAGTGGGCAGTACAGCCCACCATGATGAGAGAGTCTATATGGCACAGCCACTGTACACAGCTAATCATGTCATTTTACTGAATATGATCATATACAGACAGTTTACGTACTTGGATCCAGCTTAGCCCTGACTGTCGCAATCATCTGGAAAATGAACCAGCATATAGAAGATTTCTCTCTCTTTGTAACTCTACCTTTCAAAAAAAATATTTTTTAAAGTATACTGAGCTTGATTCCTTGCAATTTAGTTGAGTTGGGGGAGAGAATTAAAGTATTGGTCATGAAATGGACAAAAACTTACTTTCCACCCTTCCTGTATTCTCCATAATTTCCCAATAAGATGACCATCACAGTCATTGTCCACATTGTTAAAAAAACAGGCTTTGCAATCACATCTGAAATCAACACACAAATGCCCAGCTCCAGACTGCCCTGTGGGATCATACACTCGCCACTGCAGAATCATCCTGATGACATATTCCCAGCTTCAGACTTCTGAATCTCTTTCAGTCCTCTGTAACAGCTGCAGATGGACCTGTCCCCATTACAGGAACCGCAGGCTGTGAGATAACAACATGATCTCCTGCCTTTTCCCTGAGCCCAGAACATCCATCTACAAGTTTGGGAGAGCTTTCTTCAAGTTCTTTATGTGAAGGATGAGGTTAAATTCACTAAACCCAGAAGAAAAATGCTGAATTCTTAGGAGAACCAGATTAAGCAACTAAATTGAGAGTGTTCAGTGTTCCAGGACCGTGTACAGTATCATTCCAGTCTACAAATGGAAGGAGATGGTAGTGGGTCTTGGAAAACTACTATTTTTCGGACATAAAATCACATTCCCAACTTGCATATGTACATATATATATTGTCTCTTGCTTATCATGATAGGTAGCAATCATGTGACCATGGAATGAAAGTCATATGCCAACCATGATGGCCCAGGAAACAGAAGGAACAGCCTGTGTAACTCCAAACTTAGATGAGAAAAATGAAATCTACTCTTTGTATACCTGCAGATGAAGGCAAGAATAGCTTCACGCATTTAGAATTGAGGACAATTCCCAAATTAAGAACCGATGTCTAATCACCTTAACAAGTTTCTGCACATCACTTTTTGTAAGAGTTCTATCCATGTTAAAGCCATTGCTTGGGTCCAGGACAACAGCTTTCACCTGAGAAGAGGAAAAATTTCACTTAAGCAATTCTACTTCCAATTATGAAATTCACTGTGTTTCCTTTCTCAGGGAGGTTGTTTATCTACCTTTTTTATTATGAAACTCTTCACTACCTTGCTTAAAGGTTGAAGAAAGCAAGAAACATCGAACTTGAATGTGATGTTGGAACAGTAATCCAGGACTGGGGGGGAGGGGACAGCATGGTGGGGCCCAGTGGGACAAGCTGCAGCCTGCAATGTCAGCCTCTCAAAATTCTGCAATCATTTGGGGAGTAAACAGGCAAAACGATCCTGGTCTCTTCCTCCTCCTGCCACTTTTTCAGATAAATAACAAATAAATCTTTGGGAACAGAAGAAAAAGCCAAAAAGAAAAACTGTATGGGAACAAAGCTGGACACCATGACTGGATCTCAGACTGGGAATTTAGGGCATGGCTACATATTTTTTTTTTGTTTTGTCTAGAGTTAATAAAAAGCAAGAACAGGAAGCAGCCAATGAGCAATTTTAATGACAGAAAACAACAGCGGAGCACCTGTTAAGGGGCAGACGTTTGCTCTAGCCCCGTGAGCTTCGGGTCAGGATCCCCACACCTCCCACATCCGAGTGTCTGCGTTTCATTGCCAGGAAACATCTAAAAAGCTCCACAGAATTTTGTGGTGCAAATTGGTATCATATTAAAAATATTTCTTTTAGCAAAGTAGTAAGTCACAAAAATATTCCTGCTTACCATAAAAGCCACCAGAGTTTCAGAAACGACCTCTCCATGAGCTGCACATTCCTGTCCTATTTCTCGGATGATGCTCTTGATGACACTTTCGGCTTGAGTGGGAGGCATGCTGGCTAAAGGAAACAATGATGTGTTTTCTTTAAAAACTGCACTTACCATGCTGTTTTCTCTTTATTTCTTCGCTATTATATTTGTAAGGTCATAAGTTATCTATTCATTTATTAACATTTAATTATCAGCATAGGAGCCCTCTAGTTTTTTATTCATTTCTTTTTTTCTAGAATGAAGGGCTCTACTCATGTCAGGAGGCAACAATGAGGCTTCAGAGGACATTTCCCTCCACTCAAGCATTGGTGGTCACCACAGGTGCATTTACGAATACGTTGGGGCATTTTTAATCAAACCAAAGACTAATCGGGACAAGAGGAGACAGAAGCAGTGAGAACCCCGGGGGCCCCATCTGCACAGGCAGCAGAACTCAGCTTGCAAGAAGAAATGCTATTCCACCACATTCACTCAATGACCTTCCCTAACTGTCAGAAACTCTTGGGAAACAATTCCTGTTAGGTTCACTTAAAGTCCCTGTCCTACACATGGGACTTCAACCTCTGGATAAAAGCAAACAAAACAAAACACACTATAAGAGTTGTGTATTCTCGGGGCGGGGGGAGGTTGACTATTAATTCCATTTATTATAAACCAGGAAAACTAGTAGACTTTATCGAGTTTCCTGATTTTCCTCAGTGATGAGAAAATCTGTCCAGTCTAACAAAGGAGACGGTAGATGGAACACGCAGAACGCTTCAGGTGGGTGGGTAGGGCAGCCTTGGGCGCAGTGTCCAGAACAGCTGGAGCGTCGATTCCACCGCGAGCTGCCCCCTAAATTGAGGGACTTTGGAGAGTGGTTCCCCTCGCAGAAGCAGTTTTCTAATCTGAAAATTACAGCTACCTTCAGGATCTCAGAGGGGTAGTGCTGCGTTCATCACCACCGACCACAGCGCTGCCTTAGGTCAGCTGGGACTGAGGAGGCTGGCCGGCGGGTCTGGCAGAGTCGGCTGGCGCTTCAGGGTGGCGAAGGACGCCCCTCAGCACTTCACAGACGCTCCCGTTGCTAGTCTCCCTCGTCCCGCCGCCTGGCAGCGCCCAGCACACCCCGAAGGCCCAGGCGCCCTGAGGGTGACCCAGCCTGACCTGCCGACCCGGCGCCTGCGGCCGGAACTGACTGACCTTTGCTTCCTCCCAGCAGCGGTCGCGTCCTCTGACGGCCCGGGCTCCCCGCGCGTGTACACCTGAGACTCACAGGGACCGACACTGGCAGAGTCCAGGGTAAGAGCCCAGAGACCGGAGAGAGTAAGTGCCCGGTCGGTCTCCCCGTAGCTGGGCCGCAAAGCGTCGGTCGCGTAACCATGGAAACCGAACGCCCAGGAAGGGAGGAGCCAAGGGTGGAGATGTGGCTGGGATTGGCGGGGAGCCCTGCTGAGGCCCTACCTGAACAGCCTTTTCCCAAAGGATGAGCTGATGTAACTAAAGTCAAGGGAAGAAAAAGACTTAAGTCCGAAACTGAAGTCCTGCTCACGACATCTCACTGGTTAAAGTTCTCAAACGCTCTACTTTTTTTTGTTTTTCATTTAAAGTGCATTTCACAAAGGAACAAGTCCAAATGGCAAACAAACATATGAAAAAATGTTCCAGCTCCCTGGCAATAAGGGAAATCCAAATTAAAACATCGATGAGGTACCACCTAACACCAGTAAGATTGGCCCACATAAACAAGAACACCAACGACGCTTGCTGGCGAGGATGTGGGGAAAAGGGAACCCTACTCCACTGCTGGTGGAGCTGCAAATTGGTACAGCCTTTATGGAAATCAGTCTGGAGAACACTCAAACAACTCAAAATCTGCATACCATATGACCCAGCAATAGCACTCCTAGGAATATATCCAAAACACCTGTTGCACGACAAACCAACATGCATCCCTATGTTCATAGCAGCACAATCAGTAATTGCAAAAACATGGAAGCAACCGAAATGCCCATCAGCAGAAGATTGGATAAGAAAGCTTTGGTTCATCTACTCCATGGAATACTACTCAGCTATTAAAAAAAACAAAATGCAGTTCTTTGTGGCTAAATGGGCCCAACTGGAAACTATAATGCTAAGGGAAATGAGCGAATCCCAAAAGGTTAGATACCACATGTTTGCCTTGATTTAACTTGTAATTTTTGTTTGGTTGTTGGTTATTTTTTGAACCTGTCATTGATACTGTCTCAACCCAGATGTTTCGAAGAATGGAACTTGCATTACTTTTAACATATTGTTTACCCAATACTATGTCAATTAATTCCATAATGTTGTATATTGATACTGAGGTTTTGTTGGGGCTTTTAACTGACCGGATCTTTACTCTGTTAGCCCTATCTTCAGTCTAGAGAAGGTCTCCCCAAGAGGCCACTGAACTCATCTGGACAATAAGACACTGGACTTTATGCTAGGTATGTGTTTGCAAGGAAGGAATCTCAACTGAACTTGAACAGTGGTTATGCAACAAGGTGGAGGAATCCACCATGGGGGTAGGGGTATGGGAGGGGTGGGGGGAATCCCCAGTGCCTATAAAACTGTATCACATAATACAATGTTAACAACAATAAAAAAAAATAAATAAATTGCATTTTATTAAAGTCCTGCATCAATTTCCTTTTTTTTTTTTTATTACGTTGCATTATGTGACACAGTTTCATAGGCTCTGGGATTCCCCCATCCCTTCCCCGTGCCCTCCCCCATGGTGGATTCCTCCACCTTGTTGTAGTATTACAAATCGAATTAAGTCCAGATTCTTTCTTTGCAAACACATACCAAGCATAGAATCCGGCATCTTCTTGTCCAGATAAATTCAACAGTTTCTTGGGGAGACCATCTCTGGTCTGAAGGTAGAGCTGGCAGAATATCATCCTGATCAATTGAAAGCCCCAGCACAACATCAACAACAATTTACAACATTATGGAATTAGTTGACGTGGCATTGAATAATCAATATGTTAAAACCATGTAAGTTCTTAACCACCTCCTGTGACTACTTCATTGACATTTCATTTTTTAGTTTATACACAGAACCGGCTGCTATACACCTTACAGTGGCTAGAGGGTACTACTCAGGTGTCACGTGTCTATATTCATTTTAGTATTTAGCAGTTTATAGTGTTGAAGCATAATTTTGCTGAACTTGGCAGATTTTAGGATAGTCTAAACTGGCTTATAACTCTAACAAGGCATTTGTCAATAATTGAGGTGCAGAACAGTCTTAGGAGGGGTGACGCAGTACTTGTTAAGCATATCAGTTTGACAGCATGGTAAAAACAACATCAAGTTAAGTATAGTTTTAAACACAGACACTTCCTTGGCATGTCTGATGTTGCTAATTGCCTGCCTAATGTTGATTTTCTTCCTCCTTATCAACTCTACTGGGAGTGACAGTTTTCTGTTTTGAAAAACAAAGACTCCTTAACTCCCTTTTCAGCAAGGAGTGAGCTGACACAGGACCCACAGGTGTGCATGTATAATAATTTAATGGGATGTGAGGAAAGCCCTGTTGTATCTGTTCTCCCCTCCTTTCTTTCTACTTGAACGTCCCAGCTAATGCTCCAGCGGCCTTTTTTCGTGAACATGATGATGGCGGAGGCGGGGCAGGGGGAGGTGGGCACATCTTAGAATGAAGGGACATTAAGACACAGGCATAGGCAAAGACTTCTTGGGGGAAAAAACACCCAAAAGCACAGATAATTAAAGCAAAAATAAGCCAATGGGATTAGAGCCAGCTAAGCAGCTTCTACACTGCAGTGGAAATCATCAATAAAGCGAAGAGGCAGCCAACAGAATGAAAGAAAATATTCACAAACTGTGCACCAATAGAGGATTAATATCCAGGATCCTAAAGAGCTCAAGGCACTCAACAACAAAACGAAGCACTAGGCAGGGGACATGAACAGAACAGGCATTGTTCAGAGGATGGAATTCAATACTCAGGCTCACTAACCAGCAGGCAAATGCAAATAAACATCACAGGGAAGTGTCCTGTCACTCCAGTTAGAATGGCTGTCATACAGAAATGAGAAAATAATAAATGTGGGCCTGGTGCAATAGCGTAGCGGTTAAAGTCCTCGTCTTGAACACACCAGGATCCCATATGGGCACCAGTTTTAATCCTGGCAGCTCCACTTCCCATCCAGCTCCCTGCTTGTGGCCTGGGAAAGCAGTCAAGGATAGCCCAGAGCATTGGGACCCTGCACACCTGTGTGGGAGACCTGGAAAGAAGTTCCTGGTTCCCGGCTTCAGATTGGAGCAGCACCGGCTGTTGCAGCCACTTGGGGAGTGAATCATTGGCCGGAAGATCTTCCTCTCTTTCTTTCTTTCTCTCTGTATATCTGACTTTGCAATAAAAATAAATAAATCTTTAAAAAACAAAAAGAAAAGAATAAATGCTGATGAGGATGTGGGAGAAAAGTACCCTAATCCACTGTTTGGGGGAAAATAACCTAGTACAGCCACTATGAAAAAGAGATATGGAGATTGTTCACACAGCTGAACATAGACCTACTGTGTGACCCAGCTGTCCCACTCCTGGGATTTTATCCAAACAAAATGAAATCAGTGTATGAGAGAGTTATCTGTACCCCACGTTTATAGCAACTCAATTCACAATGGCTAAGGCATAGAATCAACCCAGATGTCCATTAGTTGATGACTGGTTAAAGGCAATGTGATTATATGTAACCGTGGAATATTAGTCAGCCACAAAAAGGATGATCGTTTATCATTTGCAACTAAATGAATCCAATTGGAAACCATTATTCTTAGTGGGATAAGCCAGTCCCCAAAAGACAAATATTGTGTTTTTCTGTCTGAGTGATTTTGGCACCATGGGATTTAATTATTGTATACACCTTTGTCCATATTCCTTAGGAAGCGTAAAGTATTTTTTTTTCTTTTAGTTTTCTACTTGATAATGTTGATATTCTTACCTTGTGAAATGTTAAGCCTGAAATTGCAAAGTGAAACAAAAGTCGCCATTATAAAAATTAAAAGAGAAAAAAGGAAAGGAGTAGCAGAGG